TAGAATATATTTTCAAAATCAATTATTTGTTATGGAAGGCGATATATCATAGAAAATGTTTCAGTAGTCACCTTTATGGCTCCATGGAGACACGACAGGTATCCCATGTAACTGCACAATTTCAACCCCCAAATTATTTTTGATTCGAAATTTAATGCCAACTATGTTTCAGGTTGAAGAATCAACGTGTTATGAATTGACCATTCAAGCCCAACGGAAAAATCGCATAGAAGAGGAACCCAGACATAAAATCAGCAACCGGTGATGAGTTTCCCATCCCTGTGTCGTATTCAATTCATATAGAATATTTTTTCAAAATTAATTATTTGTTATGGAAGGCGATATATCATTGAAAATGTTTCAGTAGTCACCTTTATGTCTCCATGGAGACACGACAGGTACCCTTACGAGGGGAGAGTATCAACCCTTGGAGTCGGTAAACCCTCATTGCAACCGAGGTAGGCGCCTGGTGGGTTAGGTATATACAGTGTTTTTCATTGAGGAGAAAACTGTTGGCTATCTGTTTCGTTCATTCAAGACGAATATGTCGCATTTCAGCACGGGAATTTGAAGAGTTCTCGTTCACATTTCAGTTTCTTATTCCATGTAACTTCACAATTTCAACCCCCAATTTATTCCAAATTCGAGATCTAATGCCAACTATGTTTTAGGTTGAAGAATCAACGTGTTATGAATTGACCATTTAAGCCCAACGGAAAAATCCTGTGTCGTATTCAATTCATATAGAATATTTTTTCAAAATTAATTATTTGTTATGGAAGGCGATATATCATTGAAAATGTTTCAGTAGTCACCTTTATGTCTCCATGGAGACACGACAGGTACCCTTACGAGGGGAGAGTATCAACCCTTGGAGTCGGTAAACCCTCATTGCAACCGAGGTAGGCGCCTTGTGGGTTAGGTATATACAGTGTTTTTCATTAAGGAGAAAACTGTTGGCTATCTGGTTCGTTCATTCAAGACGAATATGTCGCATTTCAGCACCGGAATTTGAAGAGTTTTCGTTCACATTTCAGTTTCTTATTCCATGTAACTTCTACAATTTCAACCCTCAATTCATTTATAATTCGAGAATTAATACCAACTATGTTTCGGATTGAAGAATCAACGTGTTATGAATTGACCTTTTTAAGCCCAACAGAAAAATCGCACAGAGGAGGAACCAAGACATAAAATCAGCAACCGGTGACAAGTATCACAGTGTCCTCCATGAGGAAGAAAACTGTTGGCTATCTGTTTCGTCCATGCGAGACGAATATTTCGCATTTCAGCACCGAAATTCGAAGAGAGTTATCGTATACATTTCAGTTTCTTATTCCATGTAACTTCTACAATTTCAACCCCCAATTTATTTAAAATTCGGGATTTAATGCCAACTATGTTTCAGGTTGAAGAATCAACGTGTTATGAATTGACCATTCAAGCCCAACGGAAAAATCGCACAGAAGAGGAACCCAGACATAAAATCAGCAACCGGTGATAAGTTCCCCTTTCCTGTGTCGTATCCAATTCATATAGAATATTTTTTCAAAATTTATTAATTGTTATGGAAGGCGATATATCATTGAAAATGTTTCAGTAGTCACCTTTATGTCTCCATGGAGACACGACAGGTACCCTTACGAGGGGAGAGTATCAACCCTTGGCGTCGGTAAACCCTCATTGCAACCGAGGTAGGCGCCTTGTGGGTTAGGTATATACAGTGTTTTTCATTAAGGAGAAAACTGTTGGCTATCTGGTTCGTTCATTCAAGAAGAATATGTCGCATTTCAGCACCGGAATTTGAAGAGTTTTCGTTCATATTTCAGTTTCTTATTCCATGTAACTTCTACAATTTCAACCCTCAATTCATTTATAATTCGAGAATTAATACCAACTATGCTTTAGATTTATAAGCCCAACGGAAAAATCGCACAGAGGAGGAACCAAGACATAAAATCAGCAACCGGTGACAAGTATCACAGTGTTCTCCATTAAGGAGTAAACTGTTGGCTATCTTTTTCGTTCATTCAAGACGAATATGTCGCATTTCAGCACCGAAATTTGAAGAGAGTTATCGTATACATTTCAGTTTCTTATTATATGTAACTTCTACAATTTTGACCCCCAATTTATTTATAATTCGACATTGAATAACAACTATGTTTTAGATTGAAGAATCAACGTGTTATGAATTGACCATTCAAGCCCAACGGAAATATCGCACAGAAAAGGAACCCAGACATAAAATAAGCAACCGGTGATAAGTTCCACAGTGTTTTTCATTAAGGAGAAAACTATTGGCTGGAATTTGAAAACAGTTTTTGTATACATTTCGGTTTCTCATTCCATGAAACTTTTACAATTTCAACCCCCAATTTATTTATAATTCGAGATTAAATGCCAACTATGTTTTAGAGAGAAGAATCAACGTGTTATGAATTAACCATTTGAGCCCAACGGAAAAATCGCACAGAAAAGGATCCCAGACATGCAATCAGCAACAGGTGATAAGTTTCACAGTGTTTGTCATTAAGGAGAAAACTGTTGGCTGTCAGTTTCGTTTATCTGAGAAGAATATAATGATAATAATAATAATAAAAATAATAATAATATGTCGCATTCAGCACTGGAATTCGAACACAGTTTTCGTATACATTTCAGTTTCTGATTCCATGTAACTTCTACAAATTCAACCTCCAATTTATTTATAATTCGAGATTTATAATCAAATATGTTTCAGGTAGAAGAATCAACGTGTTATGAATCGACCATTCAAGCCCAACGGAAAAATCGCGCAGCAGAGGAACCCAGATATAGGTAAAATCAGCAACCGGCGATAAGTTTCACAGTGTTTTTCATTAAGAAGAAAACAGTTGGCTATCTGTTTCGTTCACTCAAGAAGAATATGTCGCATTTCAGCATCGGAATCTGAAAACAGTTTTCGTATACATTTCAATTTCTTATTCTATGTAACTTCAAAATTTCGACCCCCAATTTATTTTTAAATCGAGATTTAATGCCAACTATGTGTTAGGTTGAAGAGTTAATGTGTTATGAATTCACCATTCAAGACCAACGGAAAAATTGCACAAAAGAGGAATCCAGACATAAAATCAGCAACCGGTGATGAGTTTCCCATTCCTCTGTCGTATTCAATTCATATAGAATATTTTTTCAAAATTAATTACGTATTTGTTATGGAAGGCGATATATCATAAAAAATGTTTCAGTATTCACCTTTATGTCTCCATGGAGACATGACAGGTACCCTTACGAGGGGAGAGTATCAACTATCAACCCTTGGCGTCGGTAAACCCTCATTGCAACCGAGGTAGGCGTCTGGTGGGTTAGGTATATACAGTGTTTTTCATTGAGGAGAAAACTGTTGGCTATCTGTTTTGTTCATTCAAGTAGAATATGTCGCATTTCAGCACCGGAATTTGAAAAAAGTTTTCGTATACATTTCATTTTCTTATTCCATGTAACTTCTAGAATTTCAACCCTCAATTCATTTATGATTGGAGATTGAATACCAACTATGTTTTAGATTGAAGAATCAACCTGTCATGAATTGACCATTCAAGCCCAACGGAAAAATCGAATTACCGTTTCATTATTGATGAACTCCGAAACTTGGCAGCTGGAAGTCATAGGTAAAGTCCATAATATGAGAAACTTCTTCCTCAGGACCCAATGTTATGAACTTCCACAGATGCATCCTGAAAATAAATTACAAGCTAGTTTTTTATTTCAAAGAAGTGCAAACATACTTTTTTTATTATTAATCAACGTAGGTACCTATGAGTTTTCTAATTTTCCTTCAAGGATCAGTATATTTTTGGTAACAATAACAAATGGTTAGGAAATGGAAATATACTGGGTGAAGCATCTGCTTTCAATAACCAAGCAGTATACCTGGTATGTCTAAAGAAATAATCAGTTGGCAGGAAATGCTCTCCACAAAGCTTGCTGGTTTTAGATGGAGTCCAACTCTCTCTATGAACTGCCTTAATCCAAACTGCAACAAATAATATTACTTAATATTTTTATGGAAAAGTCATGGAAGTATTCAACTTTGGCAAATAATATATAGGTACCTATGCCTATAGTAATTGAAAATATTCTGAGACTGGGAACATTGTACACCTAACTGAGGACCATTTCAAGAACTATATTTTCCAAAAATCTGAACGATATTCAATACTGACCCATGGCGAATGACAATTTCCTTTTGTCTTGCCCGTTCTTGCACTGATCTATATATTATATTATGCATATAGATCAGTGGTTCTTGCATCCGAAGGTGACACAAAAATGACCATTGCTTATCAAAACCAATCAAAACCTTCTCAACAATCAGTTCACAGACTTCACAGTGTTTACACAAATTCAGTCCTTTTTATAAAACAAAACACGCCAAATGAATAGATAAATCACATAAACGAAGACAATGAACTTGTCTTCACTTTCGTGCCTGTTTAGATGTGAGAAAGAATCATCTGTGCTTTAAATATTTGATAAAAGCGTTGATTGATATATATTTATTCTTTGATATTACGATATATATATAACACGAGTAGGAAAGAGACAGGTTACCGTAAATCATGCTATCTTTATTGCAGCGAGTTCATTGACGTCAATACTGAGATGTCAATTCGTGTCAAGGTCAATAGTGTCAATACTATAACATAACTCAAACATAACCTAACAAAACATGAACGATGAACACTCAGGAACATAAAAAAATAAAAATAAAATAAACTGCTTTAAAAAGTTCATAAAAGAAAGCAGAGCAGATTTATGATAGTCCTGAGTCAGGAAAAAATATGTTTCCTGTTTATTCAGATTTTTATCAATTCATAACTATTAATAACTATTTGACTTGTCTGCTTCCTTTCAACTTGAACTTTACAAAATAACAAGTGAAAGTGGATACTTGAATGATGTTTCTGACACCAACTGACACCAAATGTCCTATAAAATAAAAATTCTTCGTGATGGAATCATTCCTAAATTCTCATTTCCATTTATTGTCTGAACCAACTTTTGGAAGAGCAAAAAAAATTAGAGTATGGATTAATGGGGATGTTGGAAACAAATGCTTTGACATCTCTTTGAACCCAAATGTTCTGAGAACCTGGAATTCTATTCTGCAATATCTCACCCACACCATTCATCCTCCATTTGGTGCAATCAGAAAATTGATTTGTCTGAGTTCTAGAAAGGCTGTTACTTGTTTTGAGGAGCTAGAAGCAAGAGAAAAATACATTGCCATGGGAATAAACAGTAAATTGATAATTCTAAAGGAAGGATACAATAGTCCTTCAGAGCAAGAACTCCTGAAACCAAAGAAAACTAGTAAAAAGTTCTATTCAGGTGATATAAACTCATTGAATTTTCAATTTTTGCAAGAAACAAAGAAAAGGAATTTAACTGTTATTTTCATTGTGGTAAATGGACAAGCTTGTCAATCTCCCACCAAAGTAGTTCTGAATGAAAATGATTTGGGCCACTGGAGTGTTATCCTCAAGTACCTTTCTAAAATTTTAGATGTTCCAGAGGGGATCCAGCAGTAAGTGAGTAAAAACTCAGGGTGTCATTTGTTATGTTTATCTTTTCTTGATATTCCATATAAAAATGATTCCCCTGTAGACCTAATAAATGGTTTTATATAATAATAATTTATTTGTATGTCTAGAATCTGCACTATATTTGGTGATGTAGTGATGGATCCTCTAGAGTTACAGCATGGGTACTTGTATGTAGCTCTTCCTTTTAATGAGAAGTTTGAGAATATCGACTACACAAATACTTTTGGCAGAGCAAGTAATAAGTAAGTAGGGCTCTAGTTATTTCCATTTCTTAGTTATCATCTTGATTTTCACCTGAATTTTTATTAAAAACTGCTGAGGAAACTGCAAATTTAGCCCATTCATCTAGCATATTGTTTTTTCAATCAACCATTGAATTGTTATAATTTCAAATGTTGAATGATTCAAAAAATGTATCAATAGTTATGACCCATATTTGGTATTTTGTTAATGTTTTTTTCATCAATATTTGATAATGATTAAATCTTCATCAAGTTAACCACATGTAGATGTAAATGAATTTAATCTCTGAAACATTTTCCAGAAGTAGTTATGTTCTGAAAATCCGGAAAAAAATTCAACCCAGTAAAGTATGTTGTCCAATCAGAGGTAAGCTTTTTCACTAAATTCAAATAGTGATTTGAAATTAAAGGCCCTTTTTGTGAGTAGAGAAGACCTCCAAGCGCAGAAAGACTGATTGCCTCAAACCAAGATGTCTAAAAGAGTTTGATGATGAAAGAGAGTGTCATATTTTGCTTCCTGAAGAAATTCCAGAATCTTGCAGAACTGTTAGGATTGAAGATGAAAAGGGGGGAGAAGCTATAGGTAGGTACCTACATCATCAAAAATTCTTATACCTAGAGTTATACTTAATCAGATTCAATCCCTTATATTATATATATTTTAGATATGGTGAAAGGAAAAGACTGTTGTTTACAAAACAAGGAGACAAATTTGTGGTGTAGAATAAAAAAGTACAACCCTGGATGTTGTGGTATATATTTAGAAAATATTTATATCAGTTGATATTGGCTTCACAGTTTTCATTCTACATGTCCAGTATTTCATTTTTTTTACATTCATCCAATATTCATAATACTGCCAATGCTTCAATATTAAACAATATTTTGGGATCTTGCAGATAAAGCTGATGGATCTGGTGTACTCAAAAAAGATAGAAAGGATATAAAACCCAGAACAGTTAAAGAAAGAAAAAAATCTCTGAATGGTAGGCAGCTATAATTCATAATTATATGTCAATGCATATTTTCATGCAATTTTTTGTTCTAGAAATGCAATCAAAAGGAATCATAACAGATACAAACAAAGAAATACCTCCAGTAACTGAAAAAGCTTCAAAGAAAGGTAGGAATAGGTTATGGAATGAAGGCCTTTGAAACATGATATGACTCATATTATAATAATAATAACAAAATCATTGACATATTCAACCAATTGACATATTTTCAAAAAATCATTCATCAAACCTGGGGAACTATATTGAATTTAAAGAAAACTGTAAACTGTGGTCATCAGTTTTTTAAGCCACTATATAATATTTTAAAAAATTCTTTATTCAAAGATTATACTGGGATTTACAGGACTGCAGGGTAATGAAAGAAATATACAGGGTGTACAATTTAAAAAAGTACATTCAGAGCTGCCCTGCCTTTGTGTAATCCCATGTACAATTGGAAATATTTCATATCCAGTTTTTTTATATTCAATAGTCCATGAGATATTTTTCGTTTTACATGTTTCATCATACATCCTGTCTGTTGAATTCTAGATACTTACCTATTGAGTGCATGATCTTTAATTTTCATGTATTTTCTGTTAGCTTTATAATATTCAAGACACAAATAATTTTGTCATCAATAATTGTGATTAGCTGGTCATTACTACTAAATAATATTAGCAAGTAATCTGGAAACTAGCTTTTGTAACATATAGGTAGCAATTTTCTGGAGAAAGTCACATGTTTCATGTCACATAAGCATGCTTATTGTTGTTCAATTTTTCGAAAATTAGAATGGATGGAAAAGTAGATTTTGTTACTTTCTTGAATAATTGGATACTTAAATTACATTCTGTTACAAGAAATTGGTGAAACAACAGTACCTCAAATTGATCAGTTATACAAAAGAAATTCACATAACAAGAATGGGGAAGAAAATAATGATAATGTTTCTTCTCCTGATGATGATTTGACTGCAAAAGATTCACCACCTACCCAACAACTTCCTGAAAAAGATGCAGACGAAAAAGAATCTACATCTGTCATAAACTCAGCACCAGATCAGCAGAATAGTGAAGATAGTGATGACTTGAATGAAAGTGAACCTTTAGGAGATTCAAAACCTACCCAGGAAGATAAGAATACAAGTGGAAATAATATAGATGCTCATGAAAAATTATCTCTCGATTCAATAGAAGAGTCCAATGCTGATAACGATCCAAATTTGTTAGAACAAGAAATTCCTCAGAAAAATGATCAAATTGTGACATATTTTTCCATAGTAGACAAAGGTAAATAAACTCTGGAATTGAAGGATCAAATTTCACAGATGTAATAACGGTGAATTAGGTCTAAATATAATGTTTCATGGTGGTGCTGCAAGGTTCAATTATTGGTCAAGTTTTGTTTGCAATTAATGGATTATCATTTTGGAAAAAATCGACGCAGCCTCTTTTTACTGACAGTAATTTTTCACGTATCCCTCTACAAAGGTGGGTGTGGGTGATGAGAAATAAAGATCATACCATGATGTTTTGTGGTGTTACCACAAGGTTCAATCATGGGACCAATTTTGTTTCAATGAATGAATTATCAATCTGGAGAAATTCGGTTCGATCTTTTTTACTGGCATTGATTCCTTTGTAGTTCCTACAAAGGACAAAAAACCGTCTTTATCTACGACTATATCAAGGGGAACTCAGACTATGGCAGATTTTACACAAAGCCAAAGCCATGCCCATCACGTCACTATAAGTTCGGCATGTTTACCTCGATCTTCGATTGCCTACCAGCATGAGACTTATGGTCAAAAAAGAAATGAAGATGAAGAAGAACTCAGTAGAATATCTGCAGAATGTAATGGGGATGAGAAAAATCAAGCGACAGGTTCTATATGTAATGCTGTTGACAAAAATCCTATAGAAATGAGTAACAGTTTATTGTCAAAAATAGACAAATGTATCAATACGGAAATATCCCTGATGCAGGAGAGAAGAAATTATATGTCCGAGGACAATTCGAAATTTTCCCAATCTAATGAATTTTACAAACCTGAACATCATTTTGAGAATAAAGTAAGTTTCTTTATCTATCAACATTTCTATAACAACATCATATCATGCTCATTATGATTATGATTTTGTAAAATTTTTATGCAAGGCCCCAAAAGTCTAAGCTCATAGTGGATTTTGAACAATTTCCGGGATGCTTAGATGATTGTTTTTGATGAAATGAATATCTATTTACATCTCAGCATGCAATTGAGAGGAAAATTCACATTCCTAGAACGTTTCACAATATTTTTCAGTACATTCTCTGAACGTTCTATGATTATACAGGGTAACTCACGGTCGATGGTACGTTAGACGTTTATGGAGAACGCAACGCAGGATATTTCTGAAAATTTCGCAACTTACATTTTATCACCTGTTCTATCGATCTAGAATATTTTCGAAAATGCGACGTTGCCGTTTCTATCAAAAAGTCCTACCAACTTCATTTTTTTAAATGGAACACCCCGTATATTAACAAATTTTTAGAATTGCCTTTTTATTACAATTTACAATACTCTTTTGTAAATAAATCCCTATACCTATCTCTATCGGTTTGTTGAAGAAATTATTTTGTACTCTTACAAACTTCCTCTTGTTCAGTGGTGTCAATTCAGGATACATTTGGTTGAATTTTCTGCAAGTTCTGGCAATGATTTGATCACATTGTCCGTGTATAATAAATAACTTCATAAGAACTTCGTTTGAATAATCGATATTTGCGTTCATTCTGGGAGATTTTTTGAAACACTGTCAATAACAATTACTGAATTACCCATTAATGTCACCGAACTTGATGATTTAGGTATAGGGACATGCTATGTCAATATGTCATCTTGTAGCATTTTTATTCGTCTTTCAATTTATCGAGTAAAAAACAGTGGGTTCCATATGAAAAAATGAACTTTTGACCACTTGTATGAACAACGGATATAATAATAATTTCAGGACCCCCTGTATGATATGGAGGCGACTTTTCGGTGTAAATTGAATACATCAAGCCTGTCCAAACCACCATTAAAATATCAACTCTTTATGATTCGAGAGCCCTGATTTACATAAGTTCAATTAGGGATATGTTTTGGATCATATTCAAGACAAATTATTTTTTATCTCGTAAACCGATAGAGAAAGGTATAGGGATTTATCAACAAAAGAGTATTGTAATGAAAAGGCAATTCTAAAAATTTGTTAATATACGGGGTGGGGTGTTCCATTTAAAAAAATGAAGTTGCTAGGACTTTTTGATAGAAACGGCAACGTCGCAATTTCGAAAATATCTTAGATCGATAGAACAGGTGATAAAATGTAAGATGCGAAATTTTCAGAAAAATCCTGCCTTGCGTTCTCCATAAATGTCTAACGTACCATCGACCGTGAGTTACCCTGTATAGAACATCCTCAGAATCAGAGATTTCAGAATGATCTAGGAATATTTCTCAGTATATAGGGTATCTTTTGAGGTGCATGAAAAATATTTCAGGGATTGATAGAGAAGGAATAAAATATGTTCAAAACTAAGTTTCAAATGTGACCATTAGGGTGATATTTAATTCACACAGTTTGAAAAAAAAACATCACCCAAAAACGGTTACACTGTACAGACTGTCCCATTTTTGATGTCTTTACGGGATATCTCAGTTATTTTTAAAGCTAGAGTGTCACGGCTTTCGCTGTTTTTGAGTTACAGGGCGGAATTGAAAATTTTGCATGTCATTCATACATTTTTTTACGTACGTACGAATAAGATATGTTTTTCAAATGGAACAAGCTGTATATTTTTTTATATTTCAAATATTGATGCTCTGAGCTTTCCAAAAATATATAACACTAATGAGAAATTTCAAGTATTAGCCATGAATTCAAATGATTTTTAGTTTTTCAGCAGATATTTCATCGATGGGCCTTGTAAATATGTGGCAACATTGTCCATATCACGAATTTTTATATTTACGTTGTTGCTGATACGTGCTTCGTCACACAATGGTTTTAATTTTAGAAACAGTCAACATAAGTGAAAATAAGTGAACATATTTAGTTTCAGCGCCCTTAATGTGTGTGAAACAAATATTTGTAGAAAATAGCGGTAAATTTGAATTCACATTAAACCCCTTGAGAGAGATGAGCATGACAAGTTTTATCAAAATCATCAAAGGATTTTGAATAATCATTGAAAAATCGATCATTTCTGAAACTCCTTCTATATAAAAAAAACCAAGCAAGTTAGGACATTTTCTTCTCTTTGAGTATATAAATAATAAATTCTATGAACATACCAGGAGAACATACCTAGAATATTTGAACAATGAATTCCATGATCATTTGAGAATAACATTCATATTCTATGATGGAATATTCTGGTAACGTTCCTTGGATATTTAGATGAAATGTTCTATGAATATTCTCGAAAAACATTCTAGGAGCATTCAGAAAATCCTCATCATATTCTATGAGTATTCTTTGGAATATTCTGAAGGAGGTATGTTGTGAACGTTGTGAGAACATTCATAGAATATTCTGTGCTGTCTGGAAAGAGGTAGATGAAATCGTTTTGGAGATATTGTACCATACAATATCGTGAGGTCTACAAATCTGGAGACGACTTCTTCATCAAAACAATTGATGGAATATCGTGATTAAAACAAAAACCAAATTCAATTCATTTTTAGGTAAACAGAGGTATAAGCGCAATTTTATCAGAGATGAATGTCTACCCAGATCATGAACCAAGGAGAATGCCTTCTATTTGTATAAAAAACATAACAGATATTAATGTTGTGGGATATTCAAAGAATGGGAAACGGCATAAACGCGATAATATAAAGTGTTATGAATCTTCGAGTCTCTCAGAATCTTCATCTGCACCAGAGTACGGAAATATAGAAAAAAATGGTAATTTTGCATCTCATTAAGTATAGGGCGTTTTTATATCAAATATTGCAGATAATTTGAAAAAAATTGTGACCAACCAAATTTTTTTATACATAACTTTCAGACCACTTGTGCCGTTTTTGCAGAGAAGCAAGAAATTTGGATGGATCCAGTAAGTTAGATAATTGAAAAATTATTTTATCTCGTTTTTCCAAGAAAATATTCTTTAGTAGTAGTACATATTTTAAGTTTCTAGAATCTGTCGTTCAAAACACGTATCTGAATCAAAGAACAAGAGAAGAACTGAGAAACGAAACGATTGTGCAGAAATGAATTTGGAAAGTCCAAGTGAAAATCCCGATTTTGACAATACCCCTAATAAAACCGACAATAACATCTCAACAAACGCAGGTATCATTTCATTCTATATTTTTCGACTTCCTGAAGAAAATAAATCAAATGTATTTTTTTTATTGAAGAACTGAAGAAAAATTCTCAAAAATCACGCAGCAGTAAAATTTCTGAAAAAGTATTAAACATCACTACTGATAGTATTGAAGACAGTACTATCCCAGAAAAAATAGTGCGAACCGTTGTGGAAAATTACAGTGATACAGAAATTATTCCTGTTTCAGATATTACAGAAGACAAAAAAGGTAGATTTCACTCCTACAGAAAATTTTTCATATAGTTTTTTGTTTAAATTTCATTCAATATTTTTTGAACCAATGTCGAGATATAGTTGATTGCTGTTTGATTTTACGTCAGTAATTCTAAATCTAAACATTTTAATCAAAAAAGTTTATATAAACATTAGTCCGATCTCTTTCTACAGGGGGTCAAAGCTTAATTATTATTTTCTATTAATTGAAATATCTCGCTTACTTTTTAAGATTATTTTGAAATTCGGTGTGGTCAATACTTCCTAGGAGATCATCATTTCAAGCCATTTAAAGATCATCAAAATCTACAGGATGATACGTTTTTGGGGGGAGAGGCTTCCTTATTCCCCCCAAACTTTTCCGTAGTACGCCTCTGGCATCTTTCAGTGATCAAATTGTGTGGATCGTTCAATTCAGAAGCTTTTTTTGGTCTTCAATTTTTTTCGAGAAACGAACCGTTTTTGAGATAAATAAGCATATACGTTCTAAAACATGTTGATTTTGCCTATGTTTCGCTTAAATTTTATTCATCTGAAAAAAAAACCTTGACTTTCTACCCTCTGTATCCCCGTTACTGATCCAGATTGGACTCGTGATTGCAATTTTAGTGAGTACATTTCATTGCACTTTCAACGAAAAATCGAAAATAGAATGTTAGCGAAACATAGGCAAAAATTAACATGTTTAAGAACGTATATGCTTATTTATTTCAAAAACGGTTCTTTTCTCGAAAAAATTGAAAGAGCAAAAAAGCCTCTAAATTGAACGAAACACACAATTTAATCACTGAAAGATGCCAGAGGCGTACTACGAAAAAGTTTGGGGAGGATAAAGAAGTCTCTACCTCCAAAAATGTATCACCCTGTAAATTTTAAAAATCTTTAAATGGCTTGAAATGATGATATTCTAGAAAGTAAAGACCACACCAAATTTCAAAGCGATATCTTGCAAGGTAAGCGAGATATTTCAATTAATCGAAAAAAATAATTTAACTATTTCCCATTTCAGTTTGTGCCTTAAAACCTGAATCACCCTGTATATGAAGAAGTACATTGAGAATTCGCAGTCTCCATGTGATGAAATATTAATTCTTTCTCGGTTTATTCAACAGAAAACAACTACTTTCCTGGCTATATGCCACGACGAACATTTGAGAGATAATATCAATTCTCAATTTCAGAATATTTTGTTTCCAAATTCTTATCGTGTGTGTTCAATAGATGTAATTCAATGTTCGTCGTGGCATATAGCCAGGAAAGTAGTTGTTTTCTGTTGAATAAACCGAGAAATAATTAATAATCACATGGAGAATGCGAATTCTCAATGTATTCATTTATACATACAGGGTGTTTCGAAATTCGACCGACAACGCTCGACAGGTGATAGCCCTCGTGATTTCATAATCACTGAGATAGGGACATACGATCTTCAAGTGTTCAGTTCTCGAGATACAGGGCGTTAAAGTTAACAAATTGAAATAGTTTTTTCGCAATATCTCAAGAAAAATTGGACATAATGGATTGAACTTCGGTATATGGTTACATCTTTGAATGGGTCATTTTTTGACCAGGAAGCCATTCCGGACATTTTATCCAGTGGTGCCCTACAGGGGGTTGTGGAACTTTTCCTCTCATATTTTCTACGCCACTGATTAAATTTCGATTATTTCCAATTCCTCGAATTGATTGTTCAATTTTGTTCAGAAAATGCATCACTTTCAACTGAGCTAAAATGAACAGTTTTCGAGATATTCGACCCAAAATAGAAGATTGCATAGTAATATTTCATCATTTTCAGTACTAGAAAATTGCAAAAATATTTTTCTGGTGTTGAATAGATTAGATACTATTCAGATCTCATTCTATAGCTGAACAGAAATCGTTACTCCACGTATAAAGAGAAAACAAACATTTTTGTAATTTTCTACTACTGAGGAAGATGAAAAATTACTATGCAAACTTCTATTTTGTCAAATATATCGATAACTGTTCATTTTTGCTCAGTTGAAGGTGATGCATTTTATCAACATAATTGAACAATCAATTCGAGAAATTGGAAATAATTGAAATTTCATCAGTGGCGTAGAAAATATGGGCGGAAAAGTTATCACAACCCTCTGTAGCGCACCTCTGGATAAAATTCTCGGAATGTCTCTCTGGTCAAAAAATTAACCATTGAAAGATGAAACCATATACCGAATTTGAATGCATTATATTCAATTTTTCTTGAGATATTGCGAAAAAACTATTTTAATTTCTCAACTTTAACGCCCTGTATCTCGAGAACTGAAAACTAGAAGACCGAATGTCCCTATCTCAGTGATTATGAAATCACGAGGGCTATCACCTGTCAAGTGTTGTCGGTCGAATTTCGAAACACCCTGTATATTCCTTTTCAATGTTTTATTCTTTCAACTCGCATCTATCTTCAATGAGTTCAGCAACAAGAAAAAGTAGCAAACGATCAAGTATCATCAGAACATACCCAGAACAAAAACTGCCAAAGAGTAAAAGTTCCGGGAAAAGAAGTACCTCCAGCGCAGCACTACGTTTCGAAAAAATCCCGGATGATGATGATTCCGTTAAAGTCTCAGAACGACCTCAGAGTTTGAAGAAGATTCCTGAGGACGGAGATCCATTATTGGGTTCCGAAGACTTACAACAAAGTTTACCGACAATAAAAACAAGCCAACGAAATAGTGCGACCAGTGCGGTGCAAAAAATTATGAAAACTATAGAGGATGATATACCCTTCATAGAAAAATCTCAGAGCATAGAAAATAATGTGTCCATATTGGATTCAGAGGAGCGTCAACAAAATTCATCAAAAAGAAGAATCAGCACTGAAGAAAGTGCATTCAGTATAGCAAGTAAGATTTCAAATTTGAAATATCAACTAGACAAACAGACATGTTTTCCCTCATTAAAATCAAATGTGATCTATACAGGGTGTTTAAAAAAAAACTGACCCCCTTGCTAGGGTAGGTAGAACACTGCAAAATAAGTTGGGTTTGCTCAGTAAAAAAATGTCGTAACGGCATCCGTTTTCAAGGTACAAGGTGTTGAAAAAATGATTTTTTTACACATTTTTCACGATTATGTCGAAACTACTGGCAACATTGTAATGAAATTTTGTATGAGTGTTCCTTGAAATCTGACACATTGCATGAATTTGTTTTTATATCTGACTCTCATAGAGGGCGCTAGTTACACGTTTTGTACCGAGTAGTTTAGAACATAACTTTTTTGAGGTTAGATTTTCCAATCCAAATATGATATGAACTTGAAAATCATTCAATTTAACACCAAAAAGGTACTCTTGGTGAAACTCGATACAATGTTCCGTATTCGGAATATTTCGATTTGAAAATAATGGAGTAATAGCTGATGCTGGTATAAAATGAATTTTATGGAGTTCAATTACCTGTTCATTCAGATTCGAAAACAATGAAATCATTCTTGCACTGAAGTTATCGATGGAACAAAGAATCATAAGTAGAAAATTAAGAGATATTTGACTAGAAACATGAAATATTGAATAAGTTAGAGTAAGTGTTCAAAATGTCCTACCTTTCGACGAATACACGATTCTAAATTATTTTCTTGAGAATGTATTATTCTTTTAAACAGTTGAGTATAAGCTGTTAGGTCATTTAAGTGATGTTCAATTATGTCTTACAACTCTTGACGTGAATTTACCTATGTAGCATAGACTTTCTGCTCAAGATACAACAAAACTGTGTAATCCATGTTCTTAGTCAAATCTGTTTCGATGTTATTCTTGTGATTCATTGTTAAATCAAAAGTTTAGCATCATAAATGTATTGTTGTTTTCGGTTTTCAATAAATAGGTGAAACTTTTTCATAATACTCACTATAATACATAGCTTTATACCAGCAACAGTTATCACTTCATCATTATCCTATCGAAATATTCTGAAAACGGTACAGAGTATCGAGTTTTACCAAGGGTTCCTTTTCGGTGTGAAATTGAATGATGTTTAAGTTCACATCAAATTTGGATTGAAAAATCTAACCTCAAAAAAGTTATGTCCAAAACTACTCGGTACGAACCGTGTAACTAGCGCCCTCTATGAGAGTCAGATATAAAAACAAATGCATGCGATGTGTCAGATTCCAAGAAACATCCATACAAAATTTCATCACAATGTTGCCAGTAGTTTCGACATGATCTTGAAAAATGTGTAAAAAAAAATATTTTTTCAACACTCTGTATCTTGATAACGGATGCCGTTACGAAATGTTTTTACTGAGTAAGCCCAACTTATTTTGCAGTGTTCTACCTACCCTAGTTAGGGGGTCAGGTTTTTTTGAAACACCCTGTATATTACAATGGATTATTACTTTACAATGAATTGCCAACAAGACTTGAAAAAAGTATCAGACCATTCAAAAAAATTCAAGAACTTTTGATTTTGATTTCGATTCTCTATGTTAAAGTCTACCTAATGAGTTGAAAATAATAATGAAAGCAGAACGATTCCAAATTAATTTTTAAAATTATTCAAAGTCAATGTGTTTTTTTGTTGGAAAGCTATTATACAATAATTATTGTTCTATTGTTTTCTATTTGTAATTTATATTATGTTAGTTTACTAAATGAAAATGTTTCTTGGGAATGAAAACATTCAATTGAACAATTCAAAATCTTAGATTATATCTTGGAGATATGGTTGGAATAATGAAAAATATTACAAATATTGAAAACAAATGAAATTTGTAGATCCAAAAACGCCTCGGAATTCCGTTACAACCCTCGGTAGAAACGCGCCACCATTGGATTCTGAGGCACCTCAAGAATCCTCTTCCATAAGGAAAAGTACGAAAAGAAATAGTTGCTGTAGAGAACTTCGAAAAGGAAAGTGTAAACTTCAAAATCCGGAGAAACTCAACGTCGATAATATTCCAGAATTAGACTGCGAGACCGGACAGAAAAATTGTACTAGGTCAAGTGGAAGTTATAGTAATGCTATTTTGAATGTGAGGAAAATTCTGGAGGACGGCATGGCGGAAATAACTGAAGTGCTATCAAAAAAACAACAAAATTCAGGTATGACAATTTTTCCACAATATCACACACTTATACAGGGTGTTTCACAGGTAAAGGGCAATATTTCAATGGTACATAGGGATCACCAAGGTGGTTCTGAAAATATCATATTTGATAGGTCTTAGAGTTTCCATAACGGAGATACAGGGCGATTTATCGATTTCGAATAATTATTCATTCGTCTATAAGTATTGAACTACCCAGTATATTTTTCTGAAATATGGTATGGATCTTAAACTTGGGACGTTGAATGCATTCACCTATCGGGCGAAGTGAAAATCCAGGTTCGGCTCCAGGAAAAATTTACATTTATTCGAAATATTAAAATAACACACTGTATGTAATAATTGACAAAGTTCATCAAAGGAATCGTGGAGAGGAGGAAAAACTGAACTGGATTTGATGCTTTTTGTTTTCCCGCCACCAATTCTCATCGTAACAATCATAAACAGGAAACTAAAAGTAGGTATGTCAATTTCGAGAGTATTAAAATTATGAAACCACTTCCAATTATGATTATTTGATATATTCTTGTTAAATGATCGTTCGAAAGAACTCACTTAGTCTCACAGTCTTTATAACAGAGATATACATGGTGAATTATCTCTCGTCCATAAGTATCAAACTACCCATCGCAGTAATATTTTCTCAAATTTGGTATTGAGCTTACTTGGGATGATGGATTCATTGACATATCAGGCAGAATGGGAATACAGGTTCAGCTTCAGGAAAAGTCTCATAGTCTTTATAACAGAGATACAGGGTGAATTATCGAATAATAATTCCGCCTGATAGGTTAATGAATCCATCGTCCCAAGTAAGCTACATACCATATATGAGAAAATGTTACTGGGTAGTTCTATACTTATGGACGAGTGAATATTTATTCAAAACCGACAATTCACCCTGTATCTCCGTTATAAAAACTGCGAGACTCAGTAAGTTCTTTCGAGCGATTTTTTGACTAAAATATATCAAATAATCATAATCGACACTGGTTTCATAATTTCAATACTCTTCAAATTGACATACTTCCAGCTTTCTGTTTATGATTGTTACGATGAGAATTGGTGACGGGAAAACAAAAAGCATCAAATCCAGTTCAGTTTTCCCTCCTCTTTACGATTCCTTCGATGAACTCTGTCAATTATTACATACAGTGTGTTATTTTAATATTTCGAATAAATGTGAATTTTTCCTGAAGCCGAACCTGGATTTTCTCTTCGTCCGATAGATGAATAAATTCAACGTCCCAAGTTTAAGCTCCATACCAAATTTTAGAAAAATATACTGGGTAGTTCAATACTTATAGACGAATGAATAATTATTCGAAATCGATAAATCGCCCTGTATCTCCGTTATGAAAACTCTAAGACCTATCAAATATGGTATTTTTGGAACCACCTCGGTGACCCCTATCTACCATTGAAATATTCCCCTTTACCTGTGAAACACCCTGTATATATTTTTATAATTTCGCCGAGATAATGTTCATACAAAATTTTCTATTGACTTGCTCAAAAATACAATAGACTCCAACAATTCCATCCAATTTAACATTCTGCAAAATTCAAATGGGAACGGCCACAACACCAATTACTAAAACTTCCCTCATTATTCTTGCTTCAATAAGAACTGTAATTCTGTATAAAATCTGATTGATATTGATATTTTCGTTATTCATTTGCCACATTTGTAAAGAAACTCTAATCATATTTTTTTTCAAACATAAAGAATTCCATTAGCAACACTGGTACTATAACCGCCTATGTGCAACATGTTGATTGCATCTCACTGTACATCTTTTGTTTTTTTTAAATGTCATACGATAAATTCAATAATACTGTACAAAAGGACCCAGCACTAAACTATAGGGAAAATGGCTCTCGATGAAGATCGCTGAATTTTTAGTATGTTGCAGATTTTAATATTCTAAACAGATATTCCATTGAACCAACCTCAAAAAATGGACAGTTTTTCCGATATTGACCACCAAATGTCATTTTTTCGAGAAAAAAATCTGAAAATGGTTGAATTTTTGTTTGTGGTAGATAAGAATGAACTGACGAAAAAATTTAATTGACCTAACCTCAAAAAATTGACAGTTTTCTCGATATTGACCTCCAAAATATAATTTTTCAAGAAAAACAATGTCTGAAAATGGCTGAATTTCTGGTATGTTGTAGATAGGAATAATCTGATGAAAAAATTAAATTGACCTAACCTCAAAAAATTGACAGTTCTTTCGACATTGACCTCCAAATCTGATTTTTTCGAAAAATAATTTATGAAAATGGCTGGATTAAGTAGATATGTTGTATATATGAATGAACTGATGAAAAAATCCTATTGACCTAAACTCAAACAACTTTTATAATAGATGGAATGATCAAAATAAAATAGATATATATGGCATAAATTCGACTAGTGTGTATACCTACAACCCCATTGAGACTATAACGGAGACTATAACCATCTTTTAAATAATATATATTTCATTACATCCTCTCTTCGGACACGGTTCGGCTTCAAGTTGTTTTTAGAAGGATGAAATGCCAAATACTAATTCGAAAACAGCAACTTTGTCTTGATTATTGTTCCATTCATCTTATTTTCCATACGTACATTTGGAGGGCAATATCGAGAAAACCGTCAATTTTTGGAGGTTAGGTCAATTGGATTTTTTCACCAGTTCATTCTTATCTACAACATGCCAAAAATTCAACCATTTTCAGATACTTTTTTTTCTCGAAAAAATGACATTTGGAGGTCAATATTGGAAAAACTGTCCCGATTTTCATCGAGAGCCATTTTTCCTCTCAACTCAATCAACTCATTTCTGTATAGATCAGAACAAAACTGAAGAAATTCCTTCCAATCAGGTTGCAGACCCCCAACAAGACCTTGTTTATTCCTCAAGTAGTGATGATACCATGGCGTACTTTCCATAAAAAATTGTAAGGTAAATAAACACTTCTTTTATATTTTGGTGGTTTATTCAGAACACATGAGTCACTAATTATTATAAAAATAAGTACATCTTTGTGAAACAGTCAGAAATTCAGTTTGTTTGTTTCTCTTCTTTCGGGCAACACACCCCAGCAAATCTGCAAAGAAGAAGAAAAAAATAATTCTCACAATAAAAATTTCGACGGTCGAAAATAACTCACCCCTTCAAATCACAGAAATATTGCTCATAAACTTGCAAACTCGTAAGTTTGTCGAATATCTGAGGGCAACTGTTGATGAGCGTGCATTCTCCCGGTTGGTCCAAGGGCGTTTTCGGGCATACAGGGTGGTCGGAAATGGTCTCGTTCAAGCCCAGAATGAATTTCCCTTAAGATAAAAGAGTTTGTCACTATGCCTTCATGGAAAGTATTGCAAAATGACTTTGACGATTCTTTTTTCTATCGATCGGCTATTATAACTGCCAAAATAGTTATCTATTATACAAGGGAAAAAAGTAGTAGATTTTAGCTCCAGGTTGTGTTGTCTCCCGACGCGTAGCGGAGGGAGACAAAAAACCGTGAGCTAAAATCTAATATTTTTCCCGTGTATAATACTCTATGTTTTTTCTGTGACAGAAGAGAGGACGAATCAATATTGAGAAGATATTACATTATTTTGAAATTTGAAAATTATCGACGTGAAATTTTAAGTTTTTAACAGTAGGAACACCTGCGTTGTAGGCACCTTCATCATTCTTTTGAAGTAATCAAATATCTGATGTCACTTCTGTCAGTCTAATTCTGTGATTTGATTTCAAAAAATTGTGAATTTAGTGGTTGTTTAGTAATATACGTAACCGCGAAGTCGAATGGAAGATAAAAGGACTTGGCAAGTGACTGGTTGATCCTTCCCAAATTCTACGCCACTGGCGGAATTGCAATTTCATCAGAATTTTTCGATTCTTCAATACCTTCTTCGTAAATATTATACTACTTCTTCATAGCGATAAAGTCATTATTTTTCGAGATATTTCAAGTTAAACATGAAGCATCACAATTATTTTGATTTTAATGTGTATCAATAATATCGATATTTTGGATCAATGGACTAAATTCATCAATCAAATGAAACTTCAATCCATATTTACATAAAAACATAACAAACGGGGGCTGTTACAGGGCGTTTTGAATTTTTTAATATATTAAATAATTATACACCCTGTAGCAGCTCCTGTCTGTTATGTAATTATGTTTTTATTGTTAATATGGTTCGAAGTTTCATTTTATTGATGAATACAATCCATTGATCCAAAATATTGACAAAATTAATGTACATTGAAATCAAAATGATTGTGCAGATTTATGTTTAACTTGAAATATCTCGAAAAATAATGACTTTATCGCCATGGAGAAAGAGTACAATATCAACATCAAAATTGTTGGAGAATCGAAAATTTGTGATAGAATTGCAATTCCGCCAGTGGCGTAGAATTTGGGAGGGATCAACCAGTTAATGGCCCCTATCGTACGCCTCTGGTAATAGCTAGAAAAGTTCATTTCACATAATTCAGTTGGGTGTATAATACCTACACTTCCCTTCAAATATGAAAGTGATACGTCAAATAGTTTTGAAGATTTGGGCAAAAAACATTTCAAAATTTTTGAATAAAACACCCTGTAACTCAGACAGAAGACATATTTTATCTAGGTGATTTGGGTTAAATCTTCATATTTTAAGTTCGGGATTCTATGGTTGAAATATTTCCAATTAGTAATGAAACACCCTGTATATGTGATATACAGGGTGTTTCATAATTGAATGTCAATATTTGGGGACGCAATTCTTGGGCCCATTCTAAGAAGAAAGTTTCATATGAACGTATGACCTAAACGTCCTAACTTTTGAGATACAGGGTGGTAAAGTTCTCAAAAATTAATAGTTTTTTATTAATATCTGTAATACCACTTCAGATATTCTGATGAAATTTGGCATACATGTACTATGTATCAAGAGGCATCAGTTAGTGTACCACATTTTTTGTTGTTGCCACCAGTGGCGTTCGTATGGAATTTCACATACCTATTTTGGTAGACATTGATGGTACGCCACTGATTAATCTCCAAATTGAAATCATTCCTGAAATTCCCGATCATTTCTAAGCAAATTTGATCACTACAATTTTTTCAATCTGATGCACGGTTTTCGCTTAAAAATAAAAAGCTTTTCACTACATGATTATAGTAATATTGTTAATATGATAATATCACAATGCAGAGAAATAGTTTTTATTTTAAAGATCAAATTTCAGAAATACAATTCATAGTTCATGAACTTTGTATTCGTATTTGGTATTTTCGAATTATAACTTCTCATTGTAGTAGGCTATATTAATTTTCGAGAATTTTACCACCCTGTATCTCCAAAGTTGGGACGTTTAGGTCATACGTTCATATGAAACTTTCTTCTTAGAATGAGCCCAAGAATCGCCTCCTCGAATATTGACATTCAATTATGAAACACCCTGTATATCCGGGAAAAAGTACTCACTTTTTTCCCACGGGAAAAAAGTAATTTATGAAAAGTAACATTTTATAACCTGCCAACAGAGATGAAATGCCAAACTATCTTCCCGTCACAGAAAAAATACATTTTTTGAATAAATCACAAAGAACAGGTAACACGCACGATTTTTTGAATTATTATAATTAGATTGTGATTCTGTTATGATTATCCTGAATATCAACAAAAACGAATAAAGTTTCACATTTCACGATATCTCTTTGTCAAGCAACAATCTATGAATTTGTGCTCTCATACAAAAAACTGTCATTTCTATTTTTGCAATAATGGGAGCCACTCTGTTGATAGTAATAAATATATTATGTACTTTCGAAAAATAAAATCGACCTATCCCGAGTATTTTTTGGATATATCGTCAGTCTGAGAGATGACATATCTTTTGTTTGGCTGAACACAGTCAATTATTACCAGATGTAAGGTTGAGTTCTCCATCTTCATTCAATATATTAGCAATCCAAGGCAAATTTTTCTTCAACCTATCCACTTCTGAGGATTCTTCTATTTTTGCTGTTGCATTGTGAGGAACCTGGGTACTAGACACAAGTCGGGGGCCCACTGTAGTTGATGCAATGAACCCACCTGCTCCAGAATAAACTCGGTCATTGTCATAATCTGATTCCTCGTATAAGGCAGGCTCTGATAAAAGAAGCAAATATCAACAATAATAGAGAGACGGCGAAATAGCTCAGTGGTTGACAGATAGATAGATAAGCTTTATTTTCTAAAATGAACACTGGCAGAACATTGCAAGTCATCACTCCATACTTTTGACTTCAATTCTGTTAGTATTATAGGACAACAGACAATATTGAAAAAAAGACTCTTGAACGAAATGATTGAAATAACAAAACATGGAACAAAATGTGTTAACAAAAGATCGGATATTGAGAATTTACACACCTCATATTTCAATTTAATAGAAAAAATCAAACAATAATTCCGAATCATCAGCAGGCGACTTTTACCAATCCCGGTTATCATCTCTTTCACGAGCCTTTTTTGCAATATAAAGAAACGATTCAACGACAGTTCAGTTTGTTGATTCCTTCATGTTCGTGTCTGTGTTGAGGTCTTTCATGTACCTGTGTGTACGTATTTATACTTTATGTCGATTTTATTTATCTCACTATTTTTAAACCCGGAAAGCCACCCTAAATGTAAGTATATATCAATGTTGTTTTCTGTAAAGTGTGATAAGTGTTTTATTTTCAACGATTGTTATTTTACATAACTTATTTTGCTTTTATCAAAACCCCTCATTTTAAAATATCATTTCAATATGTATGTTGTTGTTTTTACTTCAGTGTCCTGAAGATGAAACAATAAAGTTTCAAAACGTCGACAATTTAAAAATTGGTTTTCTTCAACATTTCGACCGAAATCCTGCCAACTCAACACCAGAAATAGGCTTAATTTTTTAGATCAAATTTCAGAAATACAATTCATAGTTTATGAACTTCGTATTCGTATTTGGTATTTTGGAATTATTACTTTTCATTGTAGTCGGCTATTAATTTTTGAGAACTTGACCACCCTGTATCTCAAAAGTAAGGACGTTTAGGTCATACGTTCATATAAAACTTTCTTCTTAGAATGGGCCCAAGATTTGCCTTTTTTTATGTTCTGGTTCCCACGAAAAGGCATATCCTGTAATGTTCAGAGAACATCGTGAGAACCAAGGAAAATAAGGTAGGAATTGGTGTTCTTCTTGAATTTCTGGAGGTTATATGCCTCGGGGAACACCTCCGTTGGCAAAGTATTCCAGAGCCTCGCTGTTCGTTGAATGAACGAGTCTTTGGAAAAAGATGTTCTGCAGGTCTCCAAAGTGACCACGAAGTGGTGCGAAGCCTCAACTCGACGGGTTGATCTCGCGGGGACTGCCAAGGGAGGTACAATTGTTGATATTTCAGAAGAGCATCGTCCATGAAAATATCTATAAAACTGAGCCATATCTCCTACTTTTCTACACCGCATCCTTTAAAATAATTCAGACGTGTAGATCATGCCAATTTATACATACCATGAAAATTTCAGATTCATTTTTAGCTTGGTTTGCAAGAAACGAGCAACAATTATTTCATGAGTTTGAACAACTGAGAACTATGATTTACTCACCACTGTATGCAGGAGCGAAAGCGAAAGAGGGGCTAGGTTGAGCTTGACCAAGTTGTGCATAACCTGAAAATTCATGACATTAGCGGTCTAGTTAGTAATTTATGTCGGTGAGGTTGATATACTCTGATCTGTACAAAACAAACATCAAATTATCTTGACTGACTACGATTCAATTTCATTCCTTGTACGTTTTTTCTTTTATCTCTTGGAGCGAACGAAAGGGAATCCCTATAATGTTCGAGGAATATCGTAGTAGTAGAAATTTAGACGTCAAATGATAACATTTATTATACAATTTTCCGAACTATGTAGAATTGCTTTTCAATTTGCAAATATTTGAATAGGCATACTTACTGATACTTGGGCCACCTGCACTCAAAGGAAGTCCACTAGCTATTATTGGATAACCTGAAAAATGAATTTCTTTTATCGAAAATTTTAGGATTCTCTGAAGAAGTCAAAACGGACAAAACAGCAACAAAAGAGAAACTCGTGTTGATCTTAACAAAACCACAACTTCTCAGAAACATTTAAGACACATTTTAGAAACATTTTGAAGACAGGAGTCGCCGGCGATAGTATTATTTGTTGTGTTTTCGGCACAGTCGGCTGGGTCAAATAGGACACGTGTCTTGTTTTTTTGCAGTTTGTGCACATTCTGTGTTCATGGTGAGTCTACCTATGCATTTCTTGCAGAATATGACTTTTAAAAAAAAGTGGGCAACAGAAGAGGTCGACATTTTGATTGAAACTTACCGCGAGCATGCTAATGATGCATACAAGGAAATAGCTTCCTTATTCAATACAACTACATCCGAAAAGAAAACATAATAAACCATTCACAAGACATGATGGAAACATCATCTTCACTGCACATGTTGCCACAGAACAATCTGCCCAGTGGAAATGAGTGAAAACTCGAATGAAACTAGAACTTGGTTAGAGTTAGTTTCTGAATGTTTTCTTTTTTTTGCTATTTTGTCGGAGTTTCCATTTTCGGAAACAAAACAGCGACTCGACGTGTCTGTTCGGTGGAAATCTGCTTTTTTAGATCATTGGTATTTTGGTATTTTGTGGTATGACCTATGACAAAGTCAGAAATACACGATTTGCATCCGTTCTATGTGGCTCAGAGTCATGTTACTGCCATCTAGTGGTCTAATGCCTTAGAGATAATGACTAGTTAAAAGGAAAGATTCATTTTGCTTACCCCTTAATTTTCTTGCCATATTTAAAAAATTGCTGAATTTATATCAATTCTCTGGCAACGATTCCGTAGAGTTATCCCCACCATTCGAGATTCCAGTCATTTATCTGTGTTTACCGTTTATTATTGTTGGCGTATACTTTTCAATGATTTATTAATGAATTGCGGTGTCTATCTATTGTTATTTAGTCTCATCACTCACCTGCAAATGTAGACAAGTGTCTGATATTATCCCCACCATTCGCGATATCATTCGTTTATCTGTGTCTGGCGTTTAGGATTGTTGGCGTATACTTTCGAAAGACTTATGAATGAATCGTGATGGTGTCTATTGTTATTTAGTCTGAACACTCAACCGCAAATGTACAAGCACAGCATAAGGATTAAACAGCATCGTCACTTGTGTCTGCGGTACATGCATTCGAGTAAGTGTATTTCTGCTGACCTTTTTTTTATGTTCTGGTTCCCGTGATGTCATGCGCATGTTTAGGTATTTAAACGGAGTGACGCTGCTGTTTAATCCATATGCTGTGGTACAAGTGTCTGTTATTATCCTCACCATTCGCGATTTCATTCATTTATCCGTGTTTGGCGTTTAGTATCGTTGTCGTATACTTCCAAATGATTTATGAATGAATCGCGGTGTCTATCTTTTGTTATTTAGTCTGAGACTAGAGCCTGTATAATTCGGTGTGAGAATCAAGTAATCTGGAAAGACACTCACGTTTATCAGTGGACGCGTCCTCTGTCTCCACCGCATGGCTGGCATTCGGCTTGACCACCACCAACGAACTCACATCGCTGACGAAGGAGTACTTCAGGGCTATCCGGAGGGCCTCCTGCGTGGGTCCCGTCTTGTTGTCGGCCGCCTCGCGCTGCTGCAGGATCTGCTTGAGCGTGAGGTAGGCCCAGAGGCGCTCCAGCGGCCCCACGGAGCTGTGGATGGATGGAGTGAGCTGGATGGGGCCGTGGACGCCCCAGCCTTCGACGATGGGCACTTTGAAGCCGGGGTCCGGGCAGTCAGGACAGAAGTTTTTGAACTCATCTAGAACAGATGCATGTGGATTATGCGAATTATTCTGGCATTGAAAGGATGAAGAACAATTGAATGCGAGTTCGGAACGTAGGGTTCTCATATTCGATGATAGATGGCGTGAACGATGGATAATTTCTTGGAAAATTTCAAGATGCGTTTCGAATCTCATTATTAAGTTGAAGTACACTTTCTTCGGGACCTGAAGAGTCCGGTTGATGATGCATTTGGTGTTCTTTACAATGGTTCTGTCAGTTGTCCATCAAAATGTAAAATTTCTGAGATATCACCTACAACTTCGGTTTTTCTAATGGACGCCATATTGGATTTTCACAGATTTGAAATCAGCATAAAATTCCTTTTCTAGTGATGTATCATCACAGTCACAGTTTTATCTTATAAGGAGTACTGATTTCCAATTTTTGTTTTTATGTCCAGTAGGCTATGCGCTAAACTCTCTATAAACAATAACGATTATGTGTTGTGGCACAACTTTCATAGAGTAGGCTTGGAGCCAAGTGACATTTCTGTAAACGACAAGAGAAAATACAAGTTGATTATTTCGGGGCAAATAATGCCGTTCACAAAAACCAGTGACAGTACAAGGGTTAAGACCTGGTGATAATGAACGTCGTCTTGAGTTTTATCACTGATTCGTCAACCAGTGTGAAAGAATCGATATCGATATCTCGAAAATCAATTTGGTGCTGAATTAATTACTACTCATGGACCTGTTAGATGGCCTCCAAGGTCGCCTGATTGTACGCCTCTCGATTTTTACCTGTGGGGCTACGCCAAAAATAAAATTTATGAAGAGCCAATTCAAGATATTGATGATCTACGAGAGAGCGATGGACACATTCCAGCACATCAACAGAGTTCATCTGAGAAAAGCAGCGAATCATATGTTCGCTCGCGAATATTAAAATGTATCGAGAACAATGGGGGCCATTTCGAGCAGTTCAATTAATTTTTTTCAGTATTTGATTATCCACCTGTTGAGTTATGCAAGAACATAGAACATAGGACACAGATTAAATAATCTAAGGTAAAAGTCATAGTGGAGTGAAGTAGTAACTAATAACACAACATAATGAATATTATTTATTAGTTACAGAATTCATAGCCTACTGGACATAAAAACAAAAATTGGAAATCAGTACCCCAAATAAAATAAATCTGTGATTGTGATACATCACTAGAAAGGAAATTTTATGCTGATTTCAAATCTGTTAAAATCCAATATGAAAAGTTGAAGTTGTAGGTGATATCTCACAAATTTGACATTTTGATGGAAAACTGACAATACCATCGAAAAGAACACCAAAAAGTACTATCAGGATGTTGAAATCATTTTTTCATAAAATCAATAGTTTCCGAGATATTCGAACAAAACAAAAATACAAGATTTCAGTTTTTCTCAAATAACTAAAGAATGACTAAAGCTAGCCCGGATTTCTCAATAGATTCTGATTCAACCGTTTCTCTATCTCTCATAGTTACTGAGATCCCAATGGTGAGGATAGAGTTTGGGACACATTGTATAGGTAGTTTTTCAATTATTGAGAAACGAAAAATTATGAGTATTAAGTAGAAAAAAAACAATGTTTCACACCTAGGTATATGATTCAGTGGAAGGAAGGCTGGTTAAAACTACTAAAACAAAACGGATAGTTTCTACCAAGAGCCAGAATCGCAGACATGCAATTAGTCCCTTTTTTCCACTCACCTGTATGTCCAGCAACAACCAATTCGGACCCGTGGAACAGAATAGGAAACTTGGTCTTGGTCACCTCAGAAACGTTAGAGACGTACTTGAACGATACGTTCGACAGAAGGGGCGAAGAGATCTCTTTGTAGAACTGCTCTAGCTGCAGAGAAGCGTCCGCCGCCTCGTAGATATGTCTGGCGAAGCCTAGATTCTTCAGAGAGATTTTCTGCAAGAAGCTTCTGTCGGCACCATCTCCGAAAGACAGGGAGAATATGGGGGTCCTGCCCCCGTTCAATTCGGTGATTGTCCTTATGATTTTGTCATTGTCGACCTACAAATAATAAATCTGTCATCTTCCAATTATGAAACCAAAACATATGAAAACTTGTGCGAATTACTTTTTTCGGCAGCCGTCCGGAAAGTGCTCACTTCCGTCAGTGCCTTTTTCACGCTATTTTCCTTCATATAGGTATCATGTCACCTGCCTATACTAGGTAATAATTCAAATTCGAGGGCCACGATTTTGAGATCTCGGAAAATTTTCAAATTCCGAGTATTTCCGGAGATACGAAAGAAACAGAAATTTTGATAGGTAAATCATTTCTTCGGCAACCGTCCGGAAAGTGCTGCACGCAACACGTCCGAAAACATTTTTTTCTCTCTAATTCCATTCTTTCAGAATTTTTACTATTTTGTAGTTTATATCAAGTACTTATTGTTTCATCGACTTGAAGACCATAATTTACACAAGTGGTACAAATATACTTCCCCAAAAAATTAAATAACCATCAAAAAGTATCCGAAATTTGAGATACATTTTCGTCAAAACTACTTGGCCGATTTGGACGTTTTTTGTTTTGAATGACATGTTATCTCTTTCTGAATATTGAAGTCCTAACTGTATTTGCATAATCAACTCTTTTTCATGAATACTGGGTGTAGCAATTATAGCCTGTTTTTTCATCAAATTTGTAATATCCTTCCAAGTATCAAGTTATAATTGAAACTACACTTTAGCCTTATCTTTTTTCAACATTCCGTTTTTGGATTTACTCCATTATCTTTCCTATAACTCCAGAAACACCATTTCTCTGACTGGTCGCATGGAACTTGTGATCTTGAATGGAGGCCTTACAGCTGAAAGGTACATATCGGAGATTTTTGAAACCATACATATACCTAGTGTAAGGATTTTTGTTGATGCAAGATATGCCAGGCTTCATGTCGCCCGAGTAGTGTGAAATTATCTTTAGGAAGTCGGTATCGCTACCATAGCATGGCCGCTCGGAGACCGGATTTAAATCCCATTGAGAATCTCTGGGACATTCTTGGGACAAGATAACAATGGGAATGTAATGTGAATGCTTTGAAAGACGCACGGCAGAGACTGACTCAAATTTCGGAAGACCTGGACCAAAATGACATACGGTCTCTCATTTTGAGTATAGGACGTCATTACCAACAAGTTATTCTTGCCCGAGGCATTCTGTTTCCTGTTTTTGTTGTTAAATTTGGATAATAATTTTCCAAAAAATCATGTTACGCTATAAAATGGCGTTTCTCGAGTAAAAGGAAAGATAGTGGAGGGATTCTAAAAAAGAAATGTTAAAAATAGATAAGGCTAAAGTGTAATTTCAGTCCAAACTTGAAAGTGTAACTATTACACTCTACAGGGTATTACAAATTGTATGAAAAAAACACACCAAGTGTGTATCAAGAAGAGGAAGTACAGTTTTTCGCATTTCTTGGAGAAATGTAAGGTTTATTTGAAAAAAACACAAATTCATATTGATTTCTATAATTACCTCTCCTACTGTTGCTTCACCGTCAGTCAGGAAAACGATTAGAGGTTGATGTTTTTTGTCTTCAAGATGGTTCTTGTCAATGAGGGTTAGTGCCGTTTTCAAACCTTCGTTGATGTCAGTGCCTCCGAAGGCTTTCAATTTTTGCACCACTTTTTCGGCTTTCTTCAGGTTTTCTTCTGTCGCAGGGTATGCAGGAGGTAAAGGTTGTTCCTGGCAAATAATTCATTGATGATGTTATTTCGATTTTGGATGTTTCAAAAAACTCACCGTTCGGTTTTTGAAAACAGGTTCTTCTTCTTCATCAGGATAGCCCCAATAAGAAGTTCCCGATTCATACTGCACCGCAACTTTTTCCACGTTCCATACTTTGACAATGGATCCAAATTCTACGATGTTGAAAATATCTTCTGGCTTTAGTTCTGATAGAATACTACGCATTGCTTCTTTCAGCTGCGTTACTCTTATACCTGAAATGGGTAAAATGTGTATTCAGTGAATTTGTAAATTTCTTACAAGCAATCACGGTTCTAAGAACTTCCAAGGATTTCCAAGATATCGTTCAAGTCCTAGTTTTTTAATGAGTTCTCCGGAAGAACTGTTATAACCATATAAATACTAATTTCGGCGGCGCAAGTAACTTGAATACAGACAGTGCTATATATCCAGGCCAAACACAGCAAGAATGATCAGCGATTGGATTATTTCGGTCAATTTTGTGATTATTAGAATTGCGTTCCGAACTTTTACGAACTGGAGATGTATCGTAAAAAATACTCACCTTCCATACTACCACTGGTATCAAGAACAAACACCACTTGTTTGGGAAGTGGGGGCAGATCGCTTGGAGCGAAGAAATGGACAAAGTATCCTCCATCGACAAGAACCTACAAAAAATCATTTTGGTAGTTACTCAGACGTATCGGTCGCCTACTGGAATGTTTGCCAGAGGAATAATTTTTAATCTGAAAAAGTGTTTTTAATCTCACCTCTCCTCCTTGTGGGTCTCTTTCTACGTCATATTCCACGATGAATTGTCCAGCCAAACCGTTCTTCTGGTCAGTTCCTAATCCACTGGCATATTCCTTTTGTTTTTCCACATTTGGACTGAATTTGACTATTGCTGAAGTCTTATTCAACAAAGTCACTTCAGCGTTCGGATTCAATTTCTCTTCGTTCTTGGCGACTTCGTTTCCTGACCTCAATGGCGGAGCCTTCACGAATTTGAGTGGCCTAGTTTCTTCAATATTGACCTACAGATAGTAAAGAATATATTATTATGCACTAGCGGATGTTAAGTAGAACCGCTTGCTCGGATCAGCGGATCTAGTTTGGCAGTTTATCGCCGGCTGGCGTGTAATGGCTCTCGGCTGACACCATAGGGCCACTATCCGCCACGCCATTGATACATAATAATAGATAATACCATGAGTCTATATTGAATAACTCATGGAATTACGAGTACAATAATGGCCATTGAGAAGCAAAAAATACATATAGGGAGGAACCAGTATACTACCCTGTGGTACTCCAGATCTCTTCTGATTCTTTCACTACTCTTGGCGATGAATAAAATGATAGATATTATATATTATTATTATCATTATTCAGTGTTATAGGGAATATTTCGCAATGAAGATTCTTACTTGCACGTCTAGTTGTTTCACAGGCTGCCCTGGATGAATGTTGATGACGATTTCGTATTTTTCATTCTGTCTAGCCAATAATTCCTCGTATCTCAGATAAAAGGTGGCTTTTTGCTGTGGTTCTACATTGACAGATACGGTAAATCTATTGGAATCTCTTGCATTCACTGCTACATGTCCAGCAGATTGACCACTAGCTACAGCCTAAATAGCAAAACAAACAAAAATTACGTAGAGAAAAATCAACTAATAGTAGTATTCATTTTGATTATTTCACGAATTATACGCACATTCTTGTATGTATTTTTGGCTTCCTCCTTCTCCTGGATGTAAGCCTCATATTGTTTTCCATCAATCTCCATGGTGAATCCAGAAATGTACGCTTGTTCTGGTATAACAACTGAAAAAGTTGCCTCTTGCGCATGCTTGTCTAAATTTCTTACTTTACTAGTGACCTGGCTCTTGGCAAATCTATTAGAAACGTTTGTGTCTACCCTCATCTCGTATATTTTTGGAAGAACAGGCTCTCTCTGAAAAAAAAAAATTACGATATATTATAATAATGAATTGTTTTCTTGAATTTCTATATATGTTTTGAAAATTTAATATTCAATGAATATGAGTTACAAAATATGAGTGAAATTATATTATAATAAAATGATGAAACCCTGAAAATCCACCTTTGTATGTATTCATAAAAATGTATTTATTCATAGTTCTGATACTGGCACCAACAATGTTCCTACTTCATATTGAATTCAACGCCACCAAACCTCAAGCTTGTATCTATATAAAGTATTCAGATACAGCCGGTTTCAGAATACTGTTCCCACATATGGGGTTCAGCACCAAATATATGCTGATGCTCTTTGATTCCATCGAGAGAAAAGCCATTCGCCTGATGGGTGATGCCACAATCACTAGATCTTTAGCAATACCAATCGAACTCGACAAGCTCAGTCAGCACATCCTCTCGTCGTCAACCATGAAATATTTCGAACAACTCTATACCACAACTCGATTGTCTATTGAACGGCAAAGCTTTGTAATACTTTGCCAAGGGCAGTATTCCCAAAAACTTATAATCTCCAAATGTTAAAGAAACCAAAACCTAAATATCTCCTTTATTCCTTTTTCTTCCTAGGTACGCACCGTATAGGGATACCCTTTCGTGCGCTTCAAGAGATAAAAAATTAATTCTGATCATTAAGTATGCCGAAATATTTAGTTCAGTCTCTTTTGTATTTCTAAAACTAGATTACATTTAAGGACAATTCATATCAGAATCTTACCAATGTTTGTACTTTTTTAATTCCTGCTCTCTTCAAATTTTGTTGTGATGATCGCGTGCAAAGGTAGATGAGAAATACCGTCAATATAATGCAAATCGGGATTATTTGGTGGCTGGACTTACTTGCTTGTCGCTTTCATCTTGGTTGTCTACAGACGGTACTGTTGAGGTGGATGTGACGAAGCTTGTAGTGTCTAAGGCATTTGTGAATGACAGCAAAGAAATGCCCAAAAGGGCGATTATCAGTTGCTGCTGCATTCCCAGTTCGATCAGTCCTGAAAAGAAGTTCATTTAAATGTTGAACATTACATAATACTAAAAAGTTTATGAGAATTTGGCACATACATGCTTCAGATTCCTTGACGTAATCATGATTATTCAAATTTTCCTATTTATTTTGTAACAATATCCGTGCATGTCTAGATGAATGAAGAAAATATTACTAAACTGGATTTCCCAGCGATGAGGCCAATTGTTGATGATATATTTATGGCTCTATTATGTAGTTATGAACACAAATAAGTCCGGATATATTAAATTTCAATTAGAATAAAAGACGAATAGTCGTATCAGTATTCATAGTTTAGCAAATATTAACGTTCGCATTTCTCTAGATTTTTTTCTATAAATGAAAATATGTGTTTTTTCAATAATATGTACACCAGGCATCCCCTGTAACTTTTGAATCACTCGAGATAGAATTATGAAATTTGAAAGGTTCAAATAACATCTTATTTCGCATTCACTGGTACAATTATACATTTTGAATTACTTCCGGTTTCAGCAGGAATGACCTCAACATTCGATTTTCAAATGGGACACCCTACCCTGTATATTTTCACATTTTATTTTATTCTTTATACAGTTGTATGATTTTTTACAGATAGGCATCATAGCCAACTAGACTCATCATAATCTCTCTTTTTTAGAATTTATTTTGATTTTATACATTTTTTGTTTCGATTATCAATCGGATATTGACAAATAAATGTGGTATCAATTAATTTTTTGAATAATATTCTTCGAAAAAAAATACCATCCATCCATTTGAAAAAGGAAATGTATTTTATAAAAATCTCTTATGATCACTCGGAGAGCAGATTATAGGCAAGATAGTTGAACATAGTATGATTTGAATGTTTCCCTTACAAAAGAACTAGAACAAAAACCTACATACGATTCCAAAAATCAAATAAAAAATTGCCGCTAAGAAAATTTTTACCCGAAAATTATACAACTGAATGTAAAATGATCTCCTGAATGAAAAAATGTGAAAATATACAGGTTGTCTCATTTGAAAATCAAATGTTGAGGTCATTTCCGGCGACACCGGAAGTCACTCCGAAAGCATAATCATATCAGTGAATGCAAAATATGATATTACATGAACCCTCCAAATTTCAAGATTTCATCTCGAACGATTCAGTCACTGCGTTCGAAATGTTCACTATTAGGGGACCTAATAAAAAAATCCGTTCGATAATAAGTAAATCAGTGACACCTTAAAATACGGCATCCAACTTACTTTACCATTCAAATTGATCAAAATTATAAAAAATCAAAAGTGTGGAGGATTATACAGGGTACAAAATCTTAACACATAATCCATAATCCGAGGTACAGGGTCGTGAAAATAAAAAATAAAAATCGACAAGTACACGCCAAAGAAGTATTTTGAGAAATCCATTTTTGCACTGTTCATTTACTAACAAAATATCATCACAAAGATAACAGCAAACATTTTTTATTCGGAATAATTTAAATATTCTGCCGGTGCGGCATCGAACACTAAAAACCGAAATATCTCGAAAACGGTTTACTCAAGGGCTTACTTTATCATCGGTACCTTATTTGCTTCGAAATATTCAAAAAATCATTTCCTCAACAAAGAGTGAAAAACTACACGAGAAAAAAGTTATGGGCATCGTGAAAAGATTTCCGTATTCGTATCTCGCACCCTAAAAAACCTCTGGATATCAATTTTTGAGGTAATATCTTTGATAATAAATTCTGAGAAATCCGATTCTTATTCTTCAACTTGACCACTCCGTATCTCGGAAAAGAGGCAATTTCGGACTGAGATTTTGTACAGACCTTTCAGGGACTCCATATGGTATAAAGAAACTTATTTTCTATTGATATCTGTTTATTCTGAAGGAATAACCTCAATAATCACACTGTATGATGCATGCTTATGAATTGTCAAACAAATTTCGTTTCTCAGTCTGATGTTGTTCTAAAAATGTTGCCATAGGTTATTGCTGCAGATTGCTATTTATTTTCTATTCATTTGAACAATAACATGATGAAAAAATATGAAGATAATATGATACCTAATCAGATAAATCTGACCTCCCGTTATATAATAAATATCTTTTTAAAAACAAATTTATATAAATAGAATTTTAATTGACTTGGAATTGGAAGATTGGGAGGTAGGTATATTCTTAGGTGATGATGCTGATGCTGATTTCAAGCATGATTTCCAGTTTTGGCTGATGAACTCGAACTGGTCATAACTGAGAGTGATAGTCAATGATCTAACAATATATGTATATACAGCGTGTCTCACTCCAAAACCTGATCTATAAGTCAGCTATTAGTCGTGCGATTCTAACCAAAGTTGGACCGGTATATGAATAACCATCAATATGATCAGTTTTTCAGAAACGAACATTATTTTGGACAGTTCTGAAATCATGATTGGATTTTATTCACAGGAAACCTGACGTCATATAATATCGTTCTTCATCGTTTCAAACTCCGATATGCAAATTTTAATATGATTTCTATGAAGGGTTTCATAAAAACAGGAACATCTTAACAGCATTTTTGCTAACGTAAATAATTATGGAGACATGTTTCGACCATTCAAATGGGCATCATCAGTCATTCAATATCTTTTCGAGGCAAAAAGAAATGTTGAAGAAAGATAAGTCTAAAGTGTAATTTCAATTCTGATGATTCATGATGTAACTATTACACTCTACATCAGGGTAGGTATTACAATGAATTTCTTGAAAAAAAAAACACGCTTTAATTGCTGCACCCGGTAAGTATATAAAAAAAGTTTCAATGCGGTTGGAGACTGAGAAATCCCCAAAATTTCTAAATGATTCTAATTGGGGTTATGGAGTTATCTCAATGGAAGTCTTGAAAACAGCTACATCAAAATTTGGAGTCGCATCAATTTTTTTTATTGTTTCCTCAAAAACTATAAGCTAGATACAAAAATCACACATCAAAAGTTGGAGTCGCATCAATTTTTTTTATTGTTTCCTCAAAAACTATAAGCTAGATACAAAAATCACACAAAGAATAAAAAAGTTGTTATTTCAATAGTTCAATCTAATGAAAATATGAAACTCAGAAAAACCAGTGGCGTACAATGACATTGACCATAAATATCGATACATTTTGTCCACTGTGACGCCACTGGAAATATTATTACGAATCTAATCGCCCCAGAAGGAGCTCCATATTACTATTAACAAAACAACAACGTTTTATTGAAATTGGTTAGGAAACAATTGAAGTAATGAATAAAAATCGATTTTTCATGGAAATGTCAATACCCTGTATCTCGAAAACGAAGCAAGTTAGGAGTTAAAGTCACAAATGTTCATATGAACTTTATTCCCTAAAATATCACAAGAAATCGCCGCTTGAATTTTTTTGGTGTTATTTAGATACACCCTGTATAATATATTATTGATAGAATGATAGAGCGTAAAGTTACCGTACGAAAACACCTTCTCAAATTAGAAAATAAAAAATGCCTCACCTTAGGATTTTGAGAAAATGCTAGTCAAGAAACATCAACGTCCACATCAAACGAAGTAAGTATGGATGTATAAGTTGTTGAGTTATTTCTTTTATTCAACCGGCTTTGAACATGGTCTCCCACCATAGAAAAACAACAAATAAACGAGTAATAAACACAGAGATGACCCTGGGTCCTGGGTTATCCCCATGCAAGCATTGACTATAATATCATCGGTCAGTATCACCAGACGTAGGTACACATATAAGCATAGGCGCGGGCTGAAGACTGAACCCATGTCTACAGGGTGACCAGTTTTTGGTAGCAGGACTCTATAACAGAACACATATTTTTGTGAAAACTCCACAAACGATAAGATTTCCACAAAATTCTCAAACACACGTGTTTTCAGCTTCGTTAGGTGATCTATATACTGGTACAATGAAGTTCATTATTGTACCAGAGATCACTCCTCTAATTTTAGATGAGTGATAACAATGTATAATGACCCATCAACTTGATAAACTTTGTTTTGACATAAATAGGTTTGATTTTACACTTCCAGTTTCACCGAAAGTGGTAATTACTTTTGATTTTCAAATGAAACACCCCGATGTATATCGCATCGTTTTCTGAATCCAATGATACCACATAAGTGACATTTCAAACTTCAATGATAATTTTAATTTCATTTTTTATCTTCCATCTGCAGAGTGTCTGATCGAAGATTGTCAACTTTCTTGATTTATCAGCAAATTAGGTTCATCAAAATGGTTTGGTGTATCATGATCGTGTTATTAGATAAACATGGGGAACTCTGTAGCTGTAGCATTGGATAATATATCGAAGGCATTCGATCGACTCTTTCTTTCACAAAACATTCTCAATATTCGTCACATTTCATTGGATTTGGGAATTAAAATGTTGGTGTATTTATGAGGCTCCCTAACAACAAAGAGACTCACTGGAACCTCCCCACTAAGCAAAGTAATATCTCAACAATATTGCAGCGATATTTCAATGTTATGTGTAATGTTACATCAGATATTGTCGCTATCTTACTGCAAGGTCGCAGCAACTACGGAAACGGACGTTCAGCAATATTATGAATGTAATGTTCGCAAATGAATCATTCCAGCAGAGTTATTGTAACATTGTGTATGAAGTAAAGTAACATTTCATACTCAATGAACGAATGTAATCTTATTGTTATGTTTTGTTAAGGTTACTGGCAACATAAAATAAAAAGTAAAGGAAAATTACATATTTTATATTATAAATTATACATAGTAACAATATTCCAATAATCGAATAATCGTGTCGACTATTTCATAATTTAAAAGTAGATTGAAAAAATTTCTAAATATTTTTGATATAACGGTACTAGGTCTCATAGGCACTGCACTGCATAAGAACCTGGAACAAAGGAAATAATGATAAAATAAAATAGTCAGGAATCTACCTGTTAGTTGAGTTAGTTCATCTACCGGTTAAACTTGAGAGTTGAGGATTGTATACTTGATTCTGGAAATATTCATTTTCCAAGGTATGCTGAGAGTATCCTTATAATATACACTGAAGATAATATGAATATTTCTCAGCATCAAGAGAATATTCTGAAGAACGATATTTGAGGTTGTTTTAGAATGAATTGTGAGTGCCAGCTCAAAGTTTTTTCTACAACAACTAAGTGCAGTAAAATGAGAGATAAGATTTGATGATTCGAGCAATGATTCTACTATCACTATGAGGTTAAACAAAACCTCAATGTCCCTACGTGTTATAAAGGATTGATTTCATATAATTTGTAATGTTTTATAGAGTTCCTGATAAAGAGCCGATAAAGACCCGAAAGCTCAAACAGAAACAATAAGAAAGTAGGTACACTTTGATTCACTTTGACTGCATTCACTGACTGAATTCACGAGGTTGTCCTATAACTTTGAGTAGGTATACGAATAATTATAATCATTCTATGTTATTTTTTGTCGATCGAACGATCCGCTTAGATCAATGAACGATGTATGAATTTGTAAAATGTATACCTAACCTAGAATAATAACTGATGTTGACTTACCTAACCATCAACTGCTAACTGCGATTCAAAACCTTCCCAACTGCCTAATATCACATATCGCCAGATCACCACTTATACCTCAATTTATGTTCCAAAGTATATTATTTATTGGTATCATTTGCCATTTGGACGTGTACAACAACAAAATACCTGTTACCGAAGCCAAACACGAACAAATATGGCGACTAAGATAGTGGCGTTTGTCGAATGCAAGTTTGCGACTGCGCGTAGGCATTTCATGAAATGGCGTCTCTCGATCGATACCCAATGTAGCATTTTGTATATTTCAGCTATATTACATTTTTAATTCAAATATGTGTTGCATCCCATAAGTTGTAGCAATATTGTTTGTAGTTACCTCATGTTATTTACAAACTCAATGAAGTATCAATGTTGATGCAACATTACAATTGAAAATTCCATATGTAACGTTGCACTGATATTGTTCGTAGTTGATCCATGTAATGTTGCAATTTCAATGAGAATATATAGTTGATGCAATATTGCTGTTGAAACTTAATTGAAAGGGCCATTTTGTAACTTACAAACAATTTGTCAGTAAGTTTTTCTGTTATATCGTCAACACGAATATAGCAGCAAAATAGATACAATATTGTATTTTCATATTACGGAAGAAAGCTTCACAATATATTGTGGCAATATTTTGTAACATTACATGTTTAGTGGGTCACATTCTTGTCTATTTATGTAACAAACGGAATCAATCAATTCTGATGTGAATCATAATATGACCAAAAGGGTCCGGAATAGCAGTCATTGTAATTTCAGTGGGACTCTCGATCATTTCGAGTCACCGATATGATGTGTGGCATGAATGTGATGCCTTCTAATATCTCTGGGATCAGTCTGAGCTAACTGGGAAAAGTCGGCGACCCTTTACTTTTCATAGCCATCACTAACAATACCAGTCAGACAAACTCGACAAGCCCAAACAGCACATATCCTTTGGTTGTGAACCTTGAGATATGTCGAACAACTCTTTACCAACACCATAACATTTTCTGTAGAACGTGTATTCGTGTATGCATAATATCTCGAGCTCGAGCCTCACGCCATCTTCAATATTTTCAGCAAATATATAACAATGCCTAATGACAGATCCCTCTCAATCCTTGTTGAGAATTCATTACAGGGTAGTCAAAGTTCTATACTCACGATAATTGAACTATTGATTAATAGATGGCGTAACCGAAATTGATTATTATATCAAACGTAGGTTTCAATACTTTCAATTTTCAGATTTGTATGCGTTTTTAGCGCCCCGGTTGCATATATTATATATAATATATGATTCCTATTTCCTCTCTTTCGAGAAAAACGAGAAACACGATAGTTATCGTATCGTATGAGATGAGATGATAAATACGTGAATTTTCCTCAAGGGATCCTAGTTATATATCATGCATGTTCGTTTGTATTGCTGAACTTGCTTGAGTAGATTTTTTTCCCATAGTTGTCTCTGTTCATGGCATGATGTAAACAGAGAAAGTCATAGAAAAAAATGAAGTTCAGCAGGTAGAGCAAGCACAAACAGCTCAGTGCATACCTACTGTCTAGTCAAAGTGTCTACTGTCATTACTGACAGTTGACATCTACTTTATTGAAAGTTGAAAGATCAATATTCTGGCCGAATTTCGGAATTTCAGGCCTAACATTTTTAATAGGAATGAGTTTGAAAACGTTGTATTTGTATGTTGTATATTTATGATTGGTTCCAGGTTCTAGTTGTCAGCAAGACCGCGTGACTCCTGTCACGTTTTAGTGTGAAAAGTCGCCAAACTATAGATACAGTGTGTACACTGTGCATAAATAATAAAAGGAAATTTGTTGTTGAGATTTGGGAGTGGCTTTTACGCCGTTTGGCCGTTTGCGCACCCTCTTGACTATTCTTGTGTTGATTGAATATCCTGTGCTCCCGATTAAAAGTCGAAAAGTAGCAAGTACGGCAAAAGCACTTGACAAAATTCGCTGTAACTTAACTAACAGACAGTCAGATAGTGGCAAACGGATTTGAGCAGAGCACATCACACGGACACTGCTGGACACTGTGCTATTTTTATTGCTACAGTAATTGACTTGTGGTTGGCCTACAATATTTGTGTTGTGTTTACTCTGTACAATCTGGTTCGCGATCAGTTGCCGAAAACCGTCCGTCCTGTTTGTACCTATCGATTGCGCGAAAATCCTCAATGTTTCACAAGGAAGTTGAATTTTCCGGTCACCATTAGTGCCCTAGATAAATGTAAGTATTTAGCGGGGTGTGTTGTGTTATGAGATAGGAGTTCGTCAGCGCTTTCCTCAACTACCTAGTTAAATAGCTGATTATCTTATTAAAATCAATTTCAAAGAGATTATTGTTATTAACCCGTCGGTAGTAGAGGTCAGATTTATTGTACCTACCTAGTGGTGCGATTTCCTTCTGGACTACCTATCTATAAAGGCTCTATTCTCTATTGCACAGGAAACTATTAATTGCTAATAGTCCTCTGCTCAACTCACAAGAATTTTGATTTGGTAAGTCAACAACTTGACTGATAAACCTAATATTATAGTAAAACTAGGTACAATTCCTTTAGGTACCTATAACAAAGAGGGTACCCTCCAGGGTACCCCTCGGGGTACCCACTACCCGTCATATCTACCCACCACCAGCCACCACCTATCCATTCCTAATTAGTAGGTATAGGTATTTTTTAAAAAAGTTCTGATACCGAGTCTGATACTCTGGCTCTCGCTCTGGCTCATGCTCAAATTGTCTCATTGGTTTCTGAATCATGACTCCAGAATTTTGGTTCCCTTGAATTGGAACCAAACTCGCTAGGTGCTAGGTTATAATGAAAGGGAATAAAATTCATGACAATAATGCAAGGTCCAATACCTATGTTCCGAATGAGTTTTGGACCTTCAGATCAAGGCTCTAAATAGTTCCAGTTATTTAACCAAATCAAATACCTAAGCAGTGGGTCATGGAATGGGATCGGGACGGTACCTATTACCCAAATACCCTCGCAAATGGTTGATCGCGAGGTGTCAACCACTCTGCTCGCCACTTTGATATGTGTACACTTATTGTCCAATCCGAGGTCCAATTTTAAGTCAATATCCCTATTCACTCAATGGAAATGTAGGTATCCAATCTCCTATGTATTATATTCCATAATATCTGTTCAAACTTACCCCTTGGTTAATCGTTATACCATACCCACGGCTATATCTTTCTTGCCTAAAAATATTCGAAACATTGTTTCCTTTAAGAAAAAAGTTGAGAAACTACACTGAGAAAAAAGTTATGGCCATTCTAAACCATAAGAAGTACATTGGTAAGCGCCTCGGTAAGCGCCGTCTAATGGCCACACTAAAAAGATGTCCGTATTCGGGTTTCACATTCCAAAAAAAACTCGGACACCAATAATTATTGAAGTAATCCGTTGAAAAATGTTCAAAATTCTGAAGAATTCGATTTTCATTTTTCAACTTCACCACTCATCTACTAATATCTAGGAATTGGAGCAATTTCGGACTGAGTTTAGTTGCTTTATATTGGTTTATTTTGACCTCAGGAATATGTGCTACGATTCTGTACAGACCTTTTAGTGACACCCTGTGTATCCGAGATTATATTCTATACCATGTCCATATACAGTATTCAAAACAAAAATATGTGTTTTGTATAAAATTGAAAAAAACATGTTTTTTCTCCATCCGAGAAATAATTGCATACACTGACATACACTTGAGAATACACTCCTATTCAACAAGGAATAACAAACTACTTTGCCCACCTATAAAGAAACCCCGAAAAAAACCTTCCTTGGCAATCAACTTTTTGATGTTATTTTATCGAACATTTTCGTTAAACTCATATTATTTTTGAGAGTAGGTACTCATTACTATTATTGTCCAGATTATTATATTGCATTTATTTTAGATATAGTCCTGGCGAATTGTATACAAGTATTAATTATTGTCAATCATAATAAATCTATTCTATTCTATTCCATTCTAAAGTTGGATATTCTCCCGTATTTTTGTGTAATATTGTGAAGATTTCCATACCCACCTAACCGCACCTATCTTATCGTATCTTATTATCTTTTAAGCACATAACACAAGCTATACCTAGCGGCGCCACTGGAATTCAGCATAAGCTAGAGATTTTTCAACTTAACTATTCATTACTGGTTAAAAACGGCTTAGACATGTCCCTATATCTTAACTTTTGATTTACTATCTACTGCCATTTAATTGGAACAAATACAGGGTGATCAGAATTGAGTATATTGAACCACGAATCTGAAGTGATTTTCAACCTATAACTTGCCTCCTAATATAATTTTCCGGAAATGTGGGTGGTTCCATGGCTGTTGGCGAGCAGTGTATATCACTGAAGATGACTCGATTTGGTCATATAGTGTGTTTTCGGTACATCTCCCGCTCCTGCAAATTTCAGAATCCTAACTCAACGATCACGTAAGATGCAGGGGTGCTTCCATTAGAAGTGAAAAACATTGTATATCTAATATACAGGGTCGCTGATATGTATGGAAACAGGTGAATATATCGGTAACCGTTTGTTAGATTTTTTGGGTACAGGGTTATTTCAAAACGTAGCGGATTCGAAAATGTTATCGGTAATGTTGCCACTATTTCAGTTATTCAGGAATTTTTATTAACTTCCTTATTTTGAATGGAACACCATGTACTTTATTGAATTTTCAGATTCTCCCTGAAAAGCTGATTTCATCGATCTATCACACTTGGGGTTTATCGGAAATGATTACATAGATAGAATCAAGATTCCTCTCGAGATTTCTCAACTTTAGGATTTTTTGTGTCTAAACTATTCATTCCTATTTTTACATTTGATTTACTATCTACTGACATTTAATTGGAACAGATACATAGGGTGATCAGAATAGTGATTCTTCAACCACAACAGGTCATGAAACTCAATAATAGAGTAGCACAGATTACAAAAATAAACATGTTACAAGTTGTCGTTGCTTAAGAAAAAAGAAGAAGTGAAAAAAACAAAAGCCAAAGGTCTATATTTTATGCTAATTAATGACCCCCCCATATTAATTTTTTTTTCTCACGATTTTAGAAAAAAAAAATTGAATTGATTTGTCGATATTCCCGATATTTACCAGGTTGTATTATGTGTTTTTATCAAAAGCGAGATCAAAAGCAGATTTTTTGAAAATTTTGTGAGGCAAAGCAGTATTGTACTAACCCGAGTACTAACCCATTTTGGAATTTTTTGCTTCATATTTTCTGTGGCTTTGCTGGCTTCGGACGTCCTCAGCAGAGCCATTTTTGAAAATGATATATTTTTCACTGAATTGATATATCGATATTGAAAGGCTAATTTTAGGCCAATTAATGACCCTATCATTTTTTGCCCAACGTTTCAAACAAAAAAAAAACGAAAAGATTCGTCGAAATACGTACAGTCGCATTAAAAAAAAAGCGTACCTACAAATATATTACTGAGAGAAATCAACGTCATCCTATTATTCTGCATAAAACGGGCTATCGGGAATGATTATTCACCAAATAATGTTGACAATAAAGTTGTCATAGGTTCTCGAAAACACGAAGCATTGGCTGAGCCAGTTTTACACAACTAGAACTAGGATCCCGAAATTCTCTCTTTTCAATACTTGTACGCTTTTTTATTGAATACGACTGTACATTTCTATTAAAAACATATTTAATGGCGATTTTTAAAGGCAAAGTGCTAGTATTGATTGAATGCTCAATAACTATCCCATTTTGGATTTTTTTCTGCATATTTAAAAAAAAAACCTGTGGTTTGCTGGCTTCGGGCGAACTCAGCTGAGCCATTTTTGAAAAGAATATATCTTTCACTGATTCGATGAATCGATATTGAAAGGCTACTTTTAGGATAATTACTCACCCTATTTTCGAATATTTTGCTCGAGATTTTGCTAAACATTTCGAACAAAAAAAAAAAACGAATACTAACGCATTGCCTTATAAAATTTGCTTTCGATACAAATGCATAATGTACTTTGCTGATTTGCTATTTATAAACCATTTTTGTATGAGTTACATAGTCGAATAAATCTTCGAATAAATCTATCTATCTATCTTTCTATCTATGTATCTATCTACTTATAGTGAATAACGCGTATTTCGACGAATCGTTGTGTTTTTATTTGTTTGAATCATTGAGCAAAATTCAAGAGTAGGGTAATTAATTAGCCTAAAATTAGCCATTTAATCCTTATATATCAAATCAGTGAAAAATATATTCTTTTCAAAAATGGCCCTGATAGAAACACATAATGCCTGGTAAATATCGCGGATGTAGACAGATCAATTCATTTTATTTTCTAAAATTAGGAGCAAAAAATTAGAAAATAGGGTAATTATTTAGCCTAAAATAAGCCTATAAATCCCAATGTATTGAATCGAAAAAAAATAAACTTTTCAAAAATGGTTCTGTTGAGTTCGCCCGAAGCTAGGCAAAGCCACAGGTTTCTTGTAAAAAATATGCAGCGAAGAATTCTAAAATTGAGTAGTTATTGAGCTTATAATCCGAGTTATAATCAATACTACACTTCGCGTCGGGATCAAACCTTACACGCGGGAAGAAATGGATGCCTTTGCTCCCTTGATATATAAATAGCTATTACCGAGGCTTTTACCTTGTTCTTCACAGAAATTGGTCCATAACAAAGACATTTAATTATCATAGATTACCGAAGTGACCTTTGCTTTTTGTGAAGTAAATACGAGATATTGTAAGTGATCTGTACTAGTATTGAGGAACTGAGATAACCTGCTATTTGCTCAAATACCTGGAAATTGACAATTTGATAAGTTACCCATATCAGGATCACTTATTCACGTACCTAGTTATTTAAAATCGGCAATCGAGATTGTAATGTCTCGAATGAGGTCTCGCACTAACACAAATATTATCAAAGGTGTTTCTATGGGTTCCAATGAGTCATTCGGATGGTTTCCAATAACTTCAGAATCCGAGCGGCATTCCATCTCGCATTCCATCAATGTGGATTCTGTACACCAATACTTATTAATCCAAAGATTCCTAATGACTTGAAAATACTGATTCTAATTCAAATTTATTAAAATCCGTTTGCTAGATTGGACATTTCCAAAGACTGAAAATATGACTTCTAATAAAATAGGTATACTGCCCGAATTCACCTGAAAATCAAGACTGCACCCAAATCCTTGGCAATCACTATTATTATATTCATTGGGACATTATAGACTGTTGGCCCGCGACACAGGGTTTATCGATGTTCTAAGTCGGTATGCCATTCAAGGGACCCACTCACTTAGTCCAAGCAGAGATTATCCAAGTTAACAGGAAAAAGTGCCTCGGAGAGTTGCCCCCGACCCTGACCTCATACCAATGAAGCTAGCAAAGCCACTTTCGAATTTCAACATGAGACACATCTCATAATTTTAGGCTCATTTTAGGCTAATTCGAGGGCTAATTTATTTCCCCATTCCCGAATTTTTTGCTCCTTCCTATCATGGAAAAATCTGTGGCTTTGCTAGCTTCGGCCGAACTCAGCAAAGCCATTTATATAATTATCAAGCTTACAATCAATGCTAACACTTTCCCTCATGAAATTCTTGCTGTCCCCTGATTTTGGCGAATTATCTGTGATGAAATAACGAAAATAAAGTATTGAATCAAATTTTTATGATTTTTTCGTAGTTTTATACTTCTTATCATGTCCCGGGAAGCCCCGCGAGGAGTTTCAGCGGTCCTCTCGGCGGTCCTTCAGAAATGAAACAATACGTATTTTGGACCACCTCAATATCTTCCCGTGAGGCCAGATCAAGGTCAAGCTTGAGGAATCTCGGGGTTGGAGGTTATGATTCTTTCGTCAAAATTCGCATTCCTCCACTCTCGTGATCACAAGCCGTCGACAAGTCAACGACCTACCCAATTACAAAAGATTTCAACGTGCATTTTTGATATAATTAAAATAATTATGAAGGATTTAAAATAATCAAAAAGGATTCAAAATAATTCAAAAGGATTTAAAAATCATTTAGAGTATTTAAAGTATTCAAACGGTAATTAAGATAATGAAAATGTACTGAAAAGAATGAAAAATTGAGGGTGTACACCATATTCAGAGAGTTGTTTGCCCCTCGCATAAATCATACCATCATAAATGGAACTAGACTTCTTATATAATATTCTTGTTGGCGCAGGTGCCATAACAATGCTGCAGGACCTCACATAGTGCCCCTGTGAAGGGGCCCCCCGCCCCGCCCCCATGCTGATAATGCCCTCCGTGCTGGAGGAGGTCGACGATGCCTCCGACGTCTTCTCGACGCTCGTCGACGCGACCGGCATCCCCCTGGCCCCCCCCAGTCCCCCCGCCAAGCCCCTGAAGACCCTGGGGGAGGTGCGCGCGCTGCTGCTCCAGGGGCGCAAGCAAGACGTCAAGCAGCTGCTGCGCAACAACCCCTGGCCGGTGAACAGCCCGCTGCGCAAAGAGCTGTGGCCGCTGTTGTGTAAGCAGCACCAGAACGGAAAGTCCAACTTTATGGACGGGTTCTATTGGGACATGGTGAACCAGGTGTTTGGTACCACTGAGTTGCCTGACAAGTCGATTAGTTTGCCGCCGTTCGTGGAACCTTCGCACTGCTTGTCTTATTATACCACGCACAAGGGGAGGAATATTACGGACAGGGTCGTGTCGGTTTTGGGGTACGCTTGCCCTGACATTGTTTACAGTCCCACTATTTACCCGATTTGTGCGCTGTTGCTGCATTTTATGACAGGTGAGTATTTGTTGATTTAACATGTATCTTGATGAACACTAAGGCATATTGATTTCTCTCAAACCGATAATGTCTGAAGACTTCTAAAACCGATGAAAACTCGAATGACTTTTGAAAGCATTCTAAGAACTCTATTGACTTCAAAATACTTTCAAGTAGTTTCCTAATGCTTTAATGGAGAACAAATATTTGAAAATTGCGGAAAATTTTATTTATACAACATATTACTTGTGTTTGTGGACAATATTATATAGGTCAAACAAAGAGACTTCTCTCTTTAAGGATGAAGGAACATAAGAACAATATGACAAAAAGACATATCAACAGAAGAAAATTAGCCGAATATCCTCACTGAAAATGGGCAAAATTTGGCATAGTGGAATAATATTAAAATCATAGGAAGAGAAGAAAGCAACTAAAATAGGAGAATCAAAAAATCAGCTTGCATTCAACTGATTGGAGATAAAAACATTGCTTCCGGTTCAGTTGATATAGATGGAACATGGTATTCTCTTCTGAAATAGTAAAATCTGAGTATGAAAATGGTGAATTCAATCTCTCAAATATTTTTGACAACTTGTGTCATTGAGAAGCAGCTGCTGCTCAACAACCTCTGGCCGGAGCTGTGGCCGCTGTTGTGTAAGCAGCACCAGAACGGAAAGTCCAACTTTATGGACGGATTCTATTGGGACATGGTGAACCAGGTGTTTGGTACCACTGAGTTGCCTCTAAAACCGATGAAAACTCAAATGACTTCCAATGACTTTTGACAGCTTTCAAAGAACTCTATTGACTTCACCAGACTTCCAGAGACTAATTAATTCTATTGACTTCAAAATACTTTCAAATAGCTTCAATGTCTTCCAAATGCTTCAATGGAGAACAATTATTTAAGAATTGTATTTATGAAACAGAATACTTGTGTTTGTGGATAATATTATACAGGTGAAACAGAGAGACTTCTCTCTTTGAGGATGAAAGAACAATATGACGAGAAGACATATCAACAGATCAAAATTAGCCGAACATCCTCACTGAAAATGGGCAGCATTTGGCAGAGTGGAACGATATTAAAATCATTGGAAGAGAAGACAGCAACTAAAATAGGAGAATCAAAGAATATGCTTGCATTCAACTGATTGGAGATAATAACATTGCTCCCGGTTCAGTTGATTTAGATAGAACATGGTATTCTCTTCTGAAATAGTAAAATCTGAGTATGAAAATGGTAAATTCAACCTCTCAAATATTTTTGACAACTTGTGTCATTGAGAAGCAGGTGCTGCTCAACAACCCCTGGCTGGTGAACAGCCCCCTGTGCAAAGAGTAGGTATAACTTTATAGACGGGCTCTATTGGGACATTGATTTTATGACGGATGAGCCTTTGTTGATTTAAGGTGTAGCTATCGAAAGTGCCTCGGAAAATGCACTGGTCTGGTCTCGGTTCTGGTGGAAACTTTGGCATTCAAAATGTTGATTTCTCTCATAACCATTCGAATAATTCTTGAAGACTTCCTAAATCGATATAAACTCAAATGAGTTCCAATGACTCCTGAAAACATTCAAACAATTCTACTGACTTCCAGATACTTCTAATGACTTCTGTTGACTTAAGAATACTTTTGGGTTTCAATGACCTCCAAATGCTCTCAATTAAGAAAAACTAAAAAAGTTGATACTGGGTGACCCGAACCAAATTGCTAGAATAAGACGGAATATGACACTTCCGGTTTGACCGGGAGTGCATCCAATTTTTTTATTTCAACAACATGTTTTTCTGGATAATACGATTCAGTATAAAATTATCTTTCTAACGATATGTCACTATCATATTTCCAATCCTCAATCTAGTCTAGTTGAGATTTTACAAAAAAATACTTTCTGTATTCCCCTCGTAACGGGATATTTTCAGAAGAGTGTGCTATGGATAATGGAACAATATAATGTGAGTAACGATAATTCGATGTCAAAGTTTTTACACAATAATTTTCGACAGAGAAATTTCAAAAAATTATGAGATTGTGAGGTATTTGAGTGATGATACTATTCGAGAAATAAAAAAAAATAGTCCAAATTTGATGAAACTACACTTCCAACACATTATCTTTGAAAATGCAAGGGTATATTCTAAGGAGTTCAAACATGAATGACATTTGTAACCATTGATCCATTCACAAGACTGATCACTGAATTCATCATCGCAGACTTGAAAATGGTATAAATCCACACCTTCCTGTGAATATTATTTGTTTTTTACAGCCTTGAAACATTGCACAAAAGACATAGGTTTTCATCATTACTTTCGATTTGGTTATTTCCTCGGTTATTTTTGTATCACCTGTTTGCCATAGATATTTATTTTGTCAATTCTCGATAGCTGTATAATTTGTTGGAGCTGATAAGTTCGTCATTTTTTAGCGCATTCTTGACAAAAATGTACCTACTATATTACTCATAATATACTCATCATCGAGGGTTAAATTAAATAGTGAGAAATATCAAACTTGATAAAAAAGTGTGAAAAAACCGAGGAAAAAACTAAATTTCCCATCTAGTCGTCTAGGTCTATCTCCAGGTCTATTAACAAAAAATTTCGATATATTCTGGTATTACGTCATAAATAAAAACTGAAACTGCTACTCTCTTCGTTAGTCTCATAACCTATAACACACAGTAAATAAGCACTTTTACTGCCTGTGCAGTTTTGATGTTACTTTACTACTTCTATACCGTTTTATACGGACAATAAAATCGCTAATTTACTGATAGTAGGAAGAAGTATACTTGAAAATATTTTAGGTGTGTTTCACATATCAGATGATTTATTCAAAATGTCATTGCTAGGGCCGTAAAAAAAACAGATTTCATGCACTTATCAGTCTTATCACAAATCTGAGATCAAATCAGTGCTTGATCACAATACAAAATCTACTATCTTTACGAGTATTTGTAACAGAACAATGTTTTCTTCGATATTGTTTTCTCGATTTTTTTTTATTTAAATGTACCCTGATCCTGATATTTATCATGAGAGTTGTTTGTATTTCACGTTTCATTTGAGAACTGCGAATAGATCGGAGGTATGTCGTTCTGATTCTTACGGAAATTGTCCATCATTTGACCGATGAAAGAATTTCGAAAACATACGAGATGTTGAGCTTGGCCCAAGCCAAACATCCAAACTTGCCAAAAATCCACCAAATACGTGTCCTCTTCTATTTATAGAATGAAATTACAGGATACCAAGAAATCAAAATGAATTTCTGTGATCGACTCAACGTTTCCGATGATGCATAGCACGATACCTTTGACAAAACAAACATCTATAAGTAGGTATTTGGGATTTTCTCTCGTTTCTATAAAATGAAAATATGAGTACTATTTCAATATACGTGTAGTAGGACAAATCAGATGATTTGCCCCAAATTGTCACTGCGTTTAAAATATTCTTCTTATAGGCTATCTTCGGGGTCTCTGATAAAAACATTTTTTGAACGCAGTGACATTTTGGGGCGAATCATCTGATTTTTCCTACTACCTGTATATTGAAATAATCTCGGATATAATACTCATATTTTTATTTTATAAAAACGAGGAGAGAAAATCAAGCAAAATGAGTGTACGACCTCAATATCATAATATCATCTTTATGGACCTAGTCATCATTGAGTTCACTTCGGAATAAGTCAACCTTTTGTACTGAAATGTTTACCAATGTTTACATATAAAAGTTAATATAAACATGGGTCCAGAAATTGCCCCTTGAGGTGTTATATCCGAGGAGTAAACCACTGGGGCAGTCCTGTGTACATTCTTTTGGCAGTTCGTGGCAGTCCTGTGGCAGTCCGTGGCAGTCCTGTGGCAGTCCGTGGCGTTCTGGTGGTAGTCTAGTGGTAGTCTAGTCTTATTTTAACGCGACAATAATCACAAACTAAAGCCTAACTTGAAAATTCAAGATGGCGATTGCAGGGCGGCGAGCGACTTTGTTATTTATTCTTCTTTTTGCCTGAAAATGTACAGGTACGGGTTCTCGAGGTCGAAAATTTCGAATTTCGAGTTCAAATTTGAACATTCAAGATGGCATCTCTGCAGGGTGGCGGCCGCTCTAGCAAACGACTTCAGTTAATCTTCATCATAAGTTTCCTTGTAAATTTCGAATCAATTTTAAAATTCAAGATGGCGTCTGCAAGGTGACAGATGATTCATTGCCCGAATCGCTTCGAAAAAATGTTCACCTCGGGGTTCTCAAGCTCAAGAGTCGCTACCCATACGAATTTAGTGTATACAAGGTGACTCACGGTCGGTGGTAGGTTAGACGTTTATTATGGAGAACGCAACGCAGGAGTTTTTTTAAAATGGATCACCCTGTATATTATTGCAATTTTAGATTCTCTCTGAATGGCCGATTTCATTGATGTATCACACTTGGGGTCTAGCGGGAATTATTACAGATATAGGGTGTTCAACTCGGTGTTCAACATCGAGATTTCTCAACTTTTTGGTGTCGAAACTATTCATTATTGATCTAAGTGGCTTACAGGTCCCTATTTTAACTTCTGATTTACTATCTACTGACATCTGATATGTTGATATCGAAGTTAATATGGTAGTTTCCGGACCAGTTTCACAGATATCGTACGTACACATATCGATATCGTATCACAGTTGTTGGTAAATTATTTCTTCTATGTTCGACACCATCGGAAATGCATTCCTAGTACTTTGTGTTCTTCTGTCAGAACTGTTTTCCGGTACTTTGTTCTTGTGGTAAATTATTCGGTAAATTGGAGATTCCAAAAACAGCAGTGTTATTTTCATTGCATATCCATTTAAACGAGCATCTAAAAGATATTCCATGATAATTGTATTGTGAATATTCTCGAAACCCTCTAGAATAAAATATCCAAATTTTGTACATGTACCTAACTTCTTATGCCGATTTGGAAATGTTAAGAATTTTCCGAAGTTTTTATTAGGGGCGTGGAAAATAGGTGGTACT